ATCTAATGACTCATGGGATATTTGACCTTACTAGATGGCTAAAGTTCGTAAGTTGGTTTAGGAATCCCTCTAGTACTCCGTGGTGGTAACTGTTTTCTAATTGGTTTAGATCTATTGGTTTAGACTTTAAATCAGGAACATTTGTAGTGAATAGTGGTTGTGATATACCAGGAATGAGAGATTTAGAGTAAGATGAAGTTTCTATGGATAGAGATACCACCTCGACATTTTCATCTACTTCATCTTCTTGTTGATCAACGGGTCTAGTTTCTAACTCTCTCCCACATCTTGAACAACATAGTTAAGAGTTTGAATTTCTTCCTAACAATACTCCCCCTGAAGTTTAGACTCAGAAGAAAAATACATCAGCTCTTCATGGAACACAACATCCATGGTTACAAATAGTTGTTGAGTTAGAGGATGGTAACAGTGATACCCCTTTTGATGAACACCATACCCAACGAAAACACATGTCAATGCTCGAGGAGACAACTTGTTGCATTAATATTTATGGAGGTGTACAAAAGCAACACAACCAAAAATATGAGGTGGTAAGTTCGCGACTGTTAGAGCATTCACTGTTTTACCAAGAGCCTGGAATCGGGTCTGGAACTCAATTGAGCTAGAAGGTATTCGATTAATTATATAGGCTGCAGAAGTGAGTGCTTCTCCCCAAAAAGACAATGGCATGTGAGCTTCTATTAAGGAAGCATGAACAACCCCCAATAAATGCCGATTTTTGCTCTCAACAACACCATTTTGTTGGGGTGTGTTGGGGCAAGTAGTTTGATGAATAATACCATGTGTTGTCAAGTACTACTAAAGGTCTGTACTTTGATATTCTCCTTCATTGTCACTTCATAGAACCTGAATTTGAGCATCATACTATGTACGAACCATTTGGTGAAATCTTTGAAAAACCAAATTGACCTCCCCTTTAGATTTCATCAAACAAACCCAAGTCATCCTTGTACAATCATCAATGAAAGTAACAAACCACCGTAAACCACTTAAAGTATTAACTTGGGAGGGCCCTTAGACATCAGAGTGAATAAGCATAAAGGGATTTGAACTTTTATTCAATTTTATTGGATCAGAAACTCGATGACTCTTTGAAAGTTCACAAACATCACAGCGGAAACAACTAACATCACTTTGCTTAAACAAACTTGGAAACAATTTCTTTAAGTAACCAAATGAAGCATGTCCAAGACGCCAATGCCATAACCAAATGGAGGATTTCTGGTTGTCATCTTCTAAGCCACTGACTATAAAAGCTTGTTGTACTATGGCAATTTTTTTTCTCTAAATCCAAGAAATACAGCTTCCCTTGTCTAATACGACAACCAATCGTTTACTTTGTTTGAATCCTCTTAAACACACAAACGTCAGGCTAAAAAATCGCCACACAAGATAAAGTTTTGGTTATTTGTGAGATTGACAACAAATTGTAATTTAGAGAGGGAACAACTAAAGCTAAATCTAAGTTTAAAGTATTTTGGAAGGCTATTGATCCTTCTTCAATGACTTGGGTGGACTCAATGTTGGCAGTAGACACAAATTTTTGTGAGGATGGTTTAAAGTGTGAAATATGCATATAATTAAATGTCATGTGATCGGTAACACTAGAATTAATTATCCATGCACTATTAGAAACAGATGTACACATATGTAAAGACTTATTGTCATTTCTAGTAGTTGCTACAAATGATGAGCATTGATCAGCATCTTCTTTCTTTTCCACAATAGCAGCAACAGAGTTTTTCTCGGAATTCTTCTTCCTTTGATCACGACTGTGATCCCACCAGTCTGGATATCCAACCAATTCAAAACATTGGTTCTTGGTATGACCATATTTGTTGCAGTGGGTGTGCTTCTTGTCTGTGTCGTTTGATTTGCTGGATTTTGCATGTTGGCTTCTATTTTGGGCTACCATTACTGAAGTCTCAATATTTCCTGATTCTCCCTTCAAGGTAGTTTGACAGACTACCTCTCGTCGACTTTTGGGTAACTCTCTTCCAGATTTGGAACGGATTTTTTCTTAGAATTTCTCCACAAATTTGTTCAAACTCTCCATCCAAACCTACAAGGAAAATGTGAGCTCGTAATTGCTTGACAGATTTCTGATATGCTATTATGTCATCGGGATCCTTCATAACCACTTTATTTCGGTGGTTTAATTCCTGAAATATTTATGTCAATTCTCCATAATAGACTGAGAGTGGCCTTCCATTTTATTTAGCAGCGAAGGCTTTCTGGTGCAAGGAGAAGACAAGTAACTCATTGCTTCCATCATAGAAAGCTTTGGATAGAGCACTCCAAATTTCGTGAGCAATGGATAAGCGTAGATAATGCTTCATAATCTCAAGAGACATGGATATCAACAACCATTGTTTGACTTTCTGGTTTTTAGCATATCATTTTTTGTACCCCTCGTCGGACTCTTTTGGTGGTGGTTTCTTTCCACAAATATAGGAAAGTTTTTCTCTCTCCGCAATATGCATTTCCATAAGCTGAGACCACACATCATAGTTTGATTTGGTAAGAGTAATTCCTACATTGAAAGCTCCATCGAGTTGAATAATAATGGGTTTTGAACCTGATGATTCAGACATTGTTGACTTTGACCTTTTTTTTTTTATTACTTGGACTTGGCTTTTCTTGACTTTTTTTTTTTTAAATATTACTTGAGAATAATAAAAACTAAAGAAAATAAAACTAAAAGGAAAAATAAAAATAAAAAAGTTAAGAAAAAAAACACAAACTCTCGGACAAACACGGAAGGCAATTCAAGGTGGCGCAGCAGCGGCCGATCAAAGTCGCCAGTAACAGAACGGAGTTGATGTTAGCAGATCAGTGACGTTAGCAGCAGTCGAAGATGATGGCGACAGTGGTTGAGACAACAACAAATCAAGGACAAGACGACAACACATTGGCAGTTTCTCGGCGACAAGCTTCAGCGTTGATCTGGGTTTTTTCATCATGTTGATCTAGTTTTTTCCCTTCTTGGCTCAACGACAGCAGCGTGGTGGTGTTTCTTGGTGATTGAAGTTGTTTGGGTGATTGGGTGATGAAGTGGATTTGCGGCAGATTGGTTGAAAAAGGCTAGAGTTGTTAATTTGTTTTGGATTGGGATTTTTGGTGTTTTGTGGTTTGCAGCGGACAGTTGGTGGTTGGGTTGGTGGGTTTAGAATTTAGATTGTCGTGTTTTCTTCTTTTCGAATTGATGACAGCTGATGGTAGGATTTCTCACCAGTTAATTTCCTGGCGGTTGCTCTAGAGTGAGCAATTTTTTTTAGATCAGAGAGTGGCTCTAATACCATGTAAATTTGAAGAATTGTATTTTTAAATTCATTGATTTATCACTAAGGAGTTACACTCTTTATATAGGGAGTATAAGATCTCCTAAATCCTCTAATTATGTCAATTGCGATTACACAATATTCTGTCTGACATAATTAGTAGATTACATAATCTCTAAAATATTCTGAGATCATATACCTGACATAACTAAAGGATTATATAATATTTACATGATTGCAAAAGATTTACACAATATTATGGAAATCTTAACAGTGACTTGTGCCCTCCTCGCAGCCAAGATGTTCAAGGGCTTTGTCCTTGAGGCTGATGATATCTTCCCCAAGGTTATGCCACAAGCTATTAAGAGTGCCGAACTCATTGAAGGAGATGGAGGGGCTGGAAGCATCGGGAAAGTTAACCTTGTGGAGGGTTAGTTTACACCACAATGATCACTAAACTGTTCTAAAAACTTGTTGCATCCTTGAAAAAATTAGCTCTAACTCTTGATTGTTTTTAGATATGCAGGCAACAAACCCGCTTACATGAAACACAAGATTGATGCTCTAGACAAAGAAAGTGATCAAAAGTGGCTTGTTACAAAATCTTTTATGAATTTTATTTTTCCAATAGTGCTATTATGTAAGGATTAGGTCAAATCTTGTTTTGTTTTCTTTTTTTTATAATAGGAGGGTTCGGGCCAGCTTACGCATACCTCAACTAATCCCTGCGGTCCATTAAACATTCTATAAGCCTAATGGGGCTAGGTAAATCATGAATGTGGTAGGTGATCACTTTGTGGGACTCAAATACAAGACCTCTGGATAGCCTACCCAGATGACTAAATTCTTTTCATCTGGCACATGTTCATAGAATCTACCAATAAACAAGACTTAAAAAGTAAAAAATGTTCGTATCATTTTTATTGAATACAAGTTGATGCAGGTATATATATGATTAAAACATATATAAGTTTCAAATTTGACAAACTTAGTACTGCTAATTAAAAAAAAAAAAAAAATCAAGAATGATATTTCCTTTTCTAGAGGACCTTAATTCTAGAGGGCATTAATTAAGGTACATTATTTGTGAAAATCTACTTGCAAAGGAAGTCAATGAACTTAAGATTAATTTCAACCCCAGAGCTTACTCAAATTCATATTCTCTAAATACTTCTTGTTGATGTAGGATAGCATACATTGATGGGCATCAATTCTAGAGGGCATTAATTAAGACATCACAGGGGGTTTATTGGATTTGGCCAAACCTCAGGGGGTTTATTAATCCAGTCAATATATCATCACTGGAATTTGAAAGTACTATCAATTGTATAGCCATATTTCACGCAAAACTATTTTTTAAAAGGAATATTAGTTAGGAGGAAAGAAAAAATAAACTCACTGTGTTTCATAGCAGAACAAAGTCCTCCACTTTAAGGGTCTATTGATCGGTTCATAACTTATAGAAGTTGAATGGCTGGGAATTTTTATTGTATAATTCATATTCTTATTCAAGTCACATTACGCGATGAAAAAGATAAGCCAAACAAATATTCAGCATTCTGTATCCCCAGCCTATAAATAGCTCCTTCACTTATACCCTTTCCACAACTCATAGCTCCTTACTTATCAGTAATCACTTCTCAGTATTTCTTCTCATATTCAATTATTTAAAATTATATACTAATTAATTAGGTAATCATGGGAGTTGTCACTTATGAACTGGAGGTGACTTGTGCCCACCCCCCAGCCAAGATGTTCAAGGCCTTTGTCCTTGAGGCTGATAATCTCTTCCGCAAGGTTTTGCCACAAGAAGTTAAGAGTGGCGAACTCCTCGAAGGCGATGAAGGTGTTGGAAGCATCAAGAAAGTTACCTTTGTGGAAGGTGCTCCTATAACATAATCCAAATAATTAATCAGAGCACATGGAGCCATTTTATTTAGTTTACACCACACAGTTTTGAAAATTGCTTTGATTATTAGCACTAACTGTTTGTTTTTTGATCTGCAGGCGACAAAACCACTTACTTGAAGCACAAGATTGATGCAATAGACAAAGAAAATTTTGTATTCTGCTACACCAGCTTCGAAGGTGACTTTTTGGTTAACAAATTTGAGAAAATTAGTCACGAGACCAAGTGGGTGCCATCTCCTGATGGAGGATCAATCTTTAAGTCCACTACCAAATTCTACACCTTACCTGGCTTTGAGATGCCAGAGGATTTAATTAAATATCATAAACAGAAGGCCACTAACGCGGTCAAGGCTTTTGAAGCATACCTCCAGGCCAATCCTGATGCCTGTTAGGAAGTTATGTGGTTGATTATTTCAAGTTTTGTGTGTGATTTGTTCGCATTCATTACCAGTTACCATAATAAGTGGATCATAGATTCAAAGTATTGTTTGATTTGAATTTTCCTTTAGCATGATTATGTTGCTTAATAGACCTTGGGAGTGATCGAAAGTGACAAACTTAATTAGAACAGTTGAAAAAATGGAGATCATATTATTGGACGAAAACAGGTGATAATGACAGAAGGAAACAATTAAAAATATTGATTTTCACTGCAGCAAGTGTTCAGTCAGCTTGTTTTTTCTTAAATGAGAATAATTCTTCTCCAGCTCTAGTTTTGTTTAGTATGTTTTCTCCTAAGGCACTTGACTGATTAAAATTTTTCTGTCTTCTTTGCAACTTACATGTCAAAAATGATAATGACTGTATTAGTATATTGTAACATAACAGTGTCTCAAAATTTCACCATCAGTTTATAAAAATGTTTCAACCACTTCCAAGTCTAGTAATTAAGCACTTGTCATGAACTCGTAAATCGCTAAATTTCAATCTATAATGGAACTTGTGGTGAGAATGATCTTATATATTTTCCTTCTTTAAACTATGTGCACCGGACATAAAGATCAAATAATCCAAGAACTCCATGTCAAAACTTTCTTTTGTTTGATTAGTAATATTTATTCATTGTAGATTTTACACTTGATGCTCAGATTTGTTCTTTGTGCAACCATTTAAGAATTACATGTTGATAATTCAGAAAAGAATGGAGGTGAGTACAAAATTTGGAATCAATTCATCACTTTCTACACAAAGTTGCCTTCAAATTTTAGTCTATAAATATAAGGCTCAATTCCCTTCATCTCTCACCTCAAAATCTCCCTACAAATAAATCAATCTTCCTCCTCCACATTGCCACCATTCTTGTTCCCTTCAATTAATTACAAGCATCCAAGTTATAATGGGTGTGTTCACTTATGAAATGGAGGTCACAACAAAAATCCCTCCAGCTAAGATGTTCAAGGCATTTGTTCTTGATGGTGACAAGCTTATCCCTAAGACTGTTCCAGGGGCCATTAAAAATGTTGAACTCATTGAAGGAGATGGAGGGCCTGGTAGCATCAAGAAAATTACTTTCGGCGAAGGCTAGTTTACGTCTTAATAACTAAATTTTTTGGATTTCTTTATGGGAAAAAAAATGAAAGCACTAAAGTGACTTGTATTATTCTTTTTTCACTTGCAGGGAGCCAATTCAATTATGTGAAGCATAAGGTTGAAGCATTAGACAAAGAGAATTTTAGCTACAGCTACAGTGTGATTGAGGGTGATGCATTAATGAAATCACTTGAGAAAATTACTTATGAGATCAAGATAGCATCTTCTCCAGACGGTGGATCCATCTGCAAAAGCAACAGCAAGTACTTCACCGTTGGCGACTTCGAAATCAAGGAAGAACAAATCAAGGGTGGGAAAGAAAAGGCTTCAGGATTGTTCAAAGCCATTGAAGCCTATCTTTTAGCGAATCCTAATGCCTATTAAGAAGGTCAATTTTATTCTGCTGAGAAGGTCTTTCACTCTTTTTATTGTGCTTAATAAGGGTTCGCTATTGTGACCACCGAGTGGCCTGTAGTGTTTCAATGGAACAGAGTCTGTTGTTTTTTTCAGTTTACAATAAATATATTCAAAATTATATGACTTTATTAAAGTTTTTTGTTATCTATTTAAAAATAAGATCACTTTGTTTCATGGCAGAACAAAGTCTTACAGCTTCCATGGCTATGGTTTTCATTTGATGAATCAATAACTAAGAGGAACAAAGGGATCAGTAATAAGATTTAACCTCTAAACAAGTATAAAATTCAGAAAAAATTCAGGATAGGTATATATTCTTCTCTGAATGACTTGAATATATGGCCAATTCTTGATCTTCTAGAAAAATGCAATGACCCACCAGCCCGCGAGCTACAAGCGAATCATATAATAGGATTTCGAACCAAAGAGTCAGAAATATGACACATTCTCATTGAAAAGAAGAGGATTCAAGGTCAGTACTTTAAGCTCTATCAAATATCAATTTCCTTCATTGAACGATTAAACCGGTATTTATTAGTCTGTTAGTATAGGTGCTAATAGTATTCATAACATTGAACCTTTTTTTTTTTTTTCTCTCTTCTTTAATCATAATGAAGACCAAACTTTCATTTCCACAAGGAGTTGTAAAGAGTCAATAAATGCCGCCTAAGTTGGTTGTGATAGACATCCCCAACGCTCATCATCAAGATTTAGGTCCATTTCTTATAGCATATATGATGCCCATTTTTCAACTCTCAGTTTATCAATCTTCCTGGAAAGCACAAAAGAAAAAAAGTTACGGCATTGAATAGGTTGAATAAACGGTTAGAATCATTTCCACATTAACAATCTGCCTCACAAAAACAGATGTGTCTCTCAAATTGACTACAACATTGATATATAATATTTGAGCATTTTAATGATGAAGAAATGAACCTGCATTAAATATTTACCAAAAGTTTCTGAAGCCATTACTTACTGGACAAACTAGTACACTGTCTTCTCAATCTATATATACCACCTTTGGCCTTCACCATGATAACCCATTCAAGAGCTTTCCTATTTTAATTGGTTCATCTTTAGTATTGAAACAAAGCAATCATGGGTGTCATCACTTTCACTGAAGAGTTCACCAGCCCTGTCCCAGCTGGAAGATTGTTCAAAGCCTTTGTTCTTGATTTCGACAACCTCTTACCGAAGCTTATGCCTCAAGCTTTCAAGAGTATCGAAACAATCAAAGGCGATGGGGGCCCTGGAACCATCAAGAAGCTGAACTTCACTGAAGGTCAGTTGCATTTACTTAATTTCACTAGTTTTGACACTTACATTGTAGGAATAATCAAATTTGAAGTGTTTTTGTTGTTCTGTTACTATGCAGGTGATGGAGCTAAGTACTTGAAGCACAGGATTGATGCATTGGACAAAGAGAAGATGATATACAACTATACATTAATTGAGGGCGATGGAATGGACAAGGTTGAATCAGTTTCTTATGAGATTAAGTATGAGGCCTCCCCTGATGGAGGGTGCAAAGGCACCAGTGTTAACAAGTACTACCCAAAACCAGGCGTCAAACTCGACGAAGAGAAAATTAAGGAAGCCAGGGCAAAGGCCATGGGCATTTACAAAGCTGTGGAAGCCTATCTCTTGACAAATCCTGATGTCTATGCCTAAGTGCTTGCAGCTCACAAGAGTGGCTGCACTGTTACCTTATTAAATCTAAATCAGGCAATTTGGGTTAATGAATAAAAGTCTTGTTTCCTTTTCATCTTATTAAGTTTGATCTTATGTTCTGTTTGAACCAGAAATGCCTTGTATAATAGAAACTTAAAGATGAAGCAGATCATTAATTAATAGAAAGACTAGATTTTTCATGGAATAAATCAATCTAATTACAGAAGACTGAACTGCTTAAACACTTTGGTATGTTGGATTAAATATGATAGAGAACAGTCTATAACAACAGTAATGTAATATTTAGTAACAATTTCCTAGTTAAATATTTTATCAGAAGGAGGCAGTCTATTTGAGTTTCTAAAGTTGTGATACTTTGCTACTAATGGAGACAGTAAAATGAAAATATGTACTGAACTTTCTAAATGGCTTCTGTTAAAAGAACGATCTGCATTTACCGAACAGCAGATACTCTTTGATAATTAATTGATAGCTGAAGTGATTGATGATTCAATATTTTAAGGAGTTGAAGCAGGCAAATAAATAAAGCTGAATATAATAGGAAAGGTAATCTAATCTTCAGAATAGGATCTGAATATGCTCAAGAACAGACAAAAATGGCCGATTTAGTGTCTCGGATATTTCAATGTAAAAGCTAGCCACATCTTAACAAATATTTAATTCTCCCAACATTTAAAAAAACACTGGATTTACCAACAGGGTTTCTCCAAAATGACTAAACAAAGAACTCTACTACGATTATAACTGTCTTAATATGTACCAAAATTTGAGAAATCGAGGCCATTTTACTTGTAGAAACCTAAAAAAATTTCGGATCGTTTATGCTTTTGATATGCATTCTTGGTCCTATTTTTCATGATCAGAATTTGTCTTCAGTATGTGTTTAAAGCTATTGGAACTCAAGTTTTGTTCCTTGCACTTGTATTATGAAGTCTGAAAATGCTTATCTAAAAGGATTTTAGTGCCATATTTGATATCCTTAATTTTGTTGTTTGCATTTGTACCAATGTAGTTTCAGCTGTTTCAATTTACTCAGTCTCTGGTCTTTGGAAAATCAGCCCTGAAAATGATTTGAATATTTTTTAACAATTGGAAAACAATTTCAAGAACAAGTATTCAACCAAATCTTGAAACTTATAAATACCAAAGCCCTCTCCCATTATCCCATATCAAGTTTGAAAACAACTCCCCACTTCTCTAGTAATCAAGCTCACTCTTTTGTTACAATTTCTCATAGGTATCATGGGTGTCTTCACTTACACTGATGAATATACTTCCTCAGTACCTCCTGCAAGGCTTTTCAAGGCTTTGATTGTTGACTCTCACAACCTTATCCCAAAACTTATGCCACTTGCTGTAAAGAGCATTGATATCATTGAAGGTGATGGAGGGGCCGGGAGCATCAGGCAGATCAACTTCGGCGAAGGCAATACATTTGGACTATCTAGCATACATTTTCATATATGTTCATTTATGTACCAAAGTTTCCAAAAATGAAACTACTAAAAATAGACTAAATGCAAGTGTTCTGGTTTTCTGATGCAGGTAGCCAAGTAAAGAGTATGAAGAACAGAATTGATGAGCTAGACCTAGAGAATTTTTCATACAAATATAGTTTGATCGAAGGCGACGGACTAATGAATAAGCTTGGCAAGATTACTTATGATGTCAAGTTTGAGCCAACACGAGATGGTGGTAGCAAAAGCAAGATGTCAAGCACTTACTATACTAAGGGTGACATTGTGCTGACTGAAGATGAAATTAAGGAAGGCAAGGAAAAGGCCTTGGGAATGTACAAAATTGTAGAGGCCTACCTCCTGCAAAACCCAGACGCATATGTTTAAATGTTTTCTTTTCCTTATCCCTTGTGCTGTAGTCCTGTCACTTTTGCTCTGGCCTGGCTATGGTAGCCTTTGCCTATTTAATAAGGATGTTAACCCTCTTGTGATTGTGGGTTGACTGCAATGTTTATGGTGTTCTGTTGTTTCAGCTTGAATACAAAGGCCATTGAAAGAAGTTGGCAACAAAATTATGTATACATTTGCTAAAACTGTTTGACTGAATTTTGGCATTCTGGATTTTGCTGAGGTATAGCCAAAAACAAAACTGAAAAAACAGAAAAAATTAATAACAAAAAATATTCTGCCGGCCTCAATGCCATGTACCTCTGCAGAGTTTGTTTATTGTAATATTTATAAAATTGGGCTTATTTTCCATGGGCTACAAAACTGGTCAAGTCCTAGTGTTCAGATTAGAAAGGAATGTTCTCTGGGCTTGATTCGCTTTTATTTTCTGAAGTCTGACCAACCACTTACATGGACCATGTGAGCCTACATTTTTCTGCATTAAAAGCTTGTTGAAGACCAACCGAGCCATATGCTCTGGATTTGTCCTACAAAAGAAGCTTCACATGTTGTCATTTTCAGGTTCATAGACTTTTCTTGATGTTGAGGAGAAGTGATCCAGTTTTCATTAGATGGAGAGTTGGCCATCTAGAATAACAGATATTTTCTTCTAAGTTAATTAAAACAAATTAGAATGTCAACAATTTCCCTTCCTAACTGAGCATAGAGATTCCAAGTAACTTCCAAAATTTTCATATATTCTAGATCACTAACAGTCACCAAGAAAAAATATTCTCAAAAGAACCCTCTATCGGTGTTGAACACTTGAACTGGTCAAACTTACGCCATATTATTATCCTTTACTTTGAATTTTTATGTGACCGGTATACTTTAAAGATAAAGCTAAATTTTTCCCCAACTCTTATCAATCATAGCACTCCTCTTGATTGTCCCAAACCACAGAATTCAACATGGGTGAACCCAAATCAATAACTCAGTCATTTGTAGCTCAGGTGACTCCTGCCAGGATGTTCAAGGCCTTAATCCTCGACTCCCATAATATCTGCCCCAAGCTCATGTTTTCATCAATCAAAAGCATCGAATATATCGAAGGTGACGGAGAGGTTGGCTCCATCAAACAGATCAATTTCACTGAAGGTTAGAACTCACATAGTAGCTCATTTTCTTTTACTATGCTATACATTAAAATGCAAAGTAACAAACATGTCTGTTTTGTTTGAATTTCCAGGAAGTTCAATAGGATATATGAAGCATAGAATAGACATGCTTGATAAGGAGAATTATATGTGCAAATATACATTTATAGATAGTGATATATTGATGGACAGGCTTGAATATATAACATATGAGGTGAAGTTTGAAGGGCATGGCCATGGAGGGTGTGTCTGCAAGATCACAAGCGAATTCAAACCAAAAGAAGGTGTAGAGATCAAGGACATTGACATTGAACTGGGGAAGGACAGAGCTATTGGAATGTATGAAGTTGTAGAAGCTTACCTCATAGCACACCATCATGATTATGCTTAAAAAGTTCAGTTCTGCAATTTTTTTTCTGGAATTTCCATCTCTTGTGCAAGATATCAGGGTGAATCTCTGGATCAATCTATGTTAATACATTTAACACACTTTTTATTTATTTCGATCTTTTTTTCTAGAAACGAATGAATATATAATTATAAAGAAGAGAACAAACTATTTACAAAAATTACGACCCATCTAAAGGATCGCAAAAAGATGTATACAGAATATATATCTAACGATCATTAAAAAGCTATACCAGTAACAGAAGATATGGTATAGAGATCCTTTTAAAAGAATTAAATCAATAACAAAAGTTGGGTAATTAGGAAAAGAAAGGATTAAGGTATAGCAAAAGAGCAGAGAGATAAGACTTTGCACCATATAAGCTTTTGAACTTCTGCAGGCTGTTGGGCGCCTGAACAATCAGTTCTTGTGGTTCAGTACAATGGAAACTATTATTAGTATATCGCACCCAATGACTCAATTAAGTCGCGCACTGCTAAAGAAAAGTTTGGCATTTGGGTTAATAACCACTTGGATACCCTCCTCTTACAAGCCGGTTTTAAGGGTGAGTTCCACCCATTTGTGGTTATTATAGTTATTATCAGAGCAACTCCACACCAGGAGTCCCTTGTTGCATTTGCGAAGTCATGTGGGCACCCTTTCCTACAATCCAATTTTATGGGTGAGTTTTACCCATTTGTGATTGTTAAAATCCATCTAAAAGTAGTGATTAGACACTAAACCAAAATATTCCACAAATTTATACAATTTATTCTTAAGAGGTCCAGTTTTTAGTTTTACTACGCAGGCAGTTCAAAGCAATGCCCCAGTTCGGTAAGCCCCAACTAAACTCAGTTGGCGCAGCCCTTGTTTTCCATTGAGTAATATCTTTGAAATTTAATACAAGAGAAGTCCAGCAGCCACAAAAAAGTCCTTGAAAAGTCTGTGTTTCCTGTAGTTGCATTGTAACTCTAGTCTTTGTAATCATGCTTAAGGAAATTTGTTACCAAACCCACCATTTATAAATACTTCAGAGTAATCCTTAACACTACAAAAGAATCTTGTGTGATCTCCTCTTCTCTTTACTTCAATCTACAAACAATCATGGGAGTTAGTACTTTTACACAAGAGTACAAGTGTCCAATTGCACCGCCGCGCATGTTTAAGGCCTTGGTTGTGGATTCCAACAATTTGTTTCCAAAACTCTTTCCCCAATTCATCAAAAGCGTCAATGTAATTCAAGGTGATGGTGGAGCAGCTGGAAGCATTGAGCAAGTCAACTTTACTGAAGGTTAACAATCTCTAATGACAGACTAACCAAATTTAAGTTAAGGTGGTGCTTTTCATAGTACTTATGGAGGCTTTTTTTCTTTTGGTAACTTTGCAGGCACTCAATTTAAATATGTGAAGCATCGAATTGATGAAATCGATGAAAAGAATTTGGTGTGCAAGTACACCATGATTGAAGGAGATGCATTAGGAGACAAGCTTGAGTCTATTGTTTATGAGGTCAAATATGAGGCAGATAGTGATGGTGGTGGTTGCATTTGTAAGATGACAAGCCATTACCACATGGTGGGGGAATTTGAGATCAGAAAAGAAGAAATTGAGGCTGGCAATGACAAAGTTGCAGGAATATACAAGATTGTGGAAAACTACCTCTTGGACAATCCTCAAGTTTACGCATAGTTTGTGCATTAAATATTGTGTAGTGTGTCTTTATATTCTAAGCATGATTGTTGTTTCTCTTGTGACATGTCCCTCTGAATTTTTTTCCAGGATTCATGTATGCCAATGAATTCCCGCTTGTATCAGTGAAAATAAAGGGTAATGCCGCCCATGCATTAAGATTTTGAGAAATTTATGAATGATTCACTTCAAGTACTTAATAAAAACCAATCAGGACCATGACAATTTGATATCTTATTATGAATAATGCCAGAATTTAAGAAACAAAGTAGGACAGCGATCAGAACCTAGCAATGTCTTTGTCAAGGAAGGAATGGCAGATTGAGGCACATTGGTAAGCTGATGAAAAGAGTTATGATGCTGCTGTGAAACTCCAATATAAGTATTTGAAATTCCTAAAGAGTCATAAGTGTACTGAGACCATTGTGGAATGGCATTGGAAGGAGGAACAGGAACTCCTTGATGAGAAGTATTGGAGAACTTTGCTGGCACAAAACTGGCCGCTAACAATGCTTGAGCAGGTTCATTTGGCTGAGCCTGGAACGAATTTCAAGGAGGCATTGAAGGTGTGTGTACTGGAGAGTGAAACCCCTTATAACCATAGTCAAATCTATGGTAGAGTTGCAGAGCGGAGTGGAGTGCTTTACCACACACTTGACATATCCGTTTTGGCCTAAAATATCCTCTTCTTCTACCTTCCTATACATAAGCATTGGGTTTCGCTAGAAGGTATGCATCAACTGCCTTAGCCATTGACAAGACCCTTGTTTTTTTGAAGATATGTATCAAAAGTGTTGTCAAAAAGAAGATGAAGACTTGATCAATCAGTTTTGTATGGTTAAAGAAGTTACACCGATGAAAACTGATGTTTAGTTATGTGATGTTGTCATGTTAAGTTATATCTTAACCGTCAAGATAGTTTTGTGATGTTATCCCTTTAAAAATCTATATAAAGTGATTGAGTGTAAAGTTGTACTATGGCACATGTATGAGTTTTTTATGAATGAAAATTATCTTTTCTCATGCATGTGTTTATCTTTATGAAATCGGAAGCCTGAACTTGATTTGTTTGCCTTTCAATTTCCAACAAATGGTATCAGAGCCCTTTATCTTAAGGGACCTGTGAGAGATGTGAGATATTGCTGAATTTTGTGAATGAATTCAGTGAGGAGGAGTAAGATCTTCCTGAAGGATTGTGAAGAAAATCCTTGCAAGTTTGGCAGAAAGAGTGGCTGCAAAGTTGGCTGCAGAAGTGGCAGCAATGCAACAAGTTTGGCAGCAAGATAGGCTGCAAAGTTGGCTGTAGGATTGGCGGCAAAGCAGCAAGAGTGGCAGCAAGAAGTGACTGCAAGAGTGACGACAAGAGCGCTGCAAGAGTGGCTGCAGAATTCACAGCAAGGCAGCAAGAGTGGCTGCAAGGTTGGTTGCAAGAATGGCTGCAAAGTTGGCTAAGCATGTAATGTGCTTGGTTGTTTTATGCTTACCGCAAGGAGGAGTAAGCTTGATGATGGCTGCAAGAATGGCAGCAGGTATGGCAGCAAGTATGGCTGCAAAGTTTGATAAGCATGTAATGTGCTCGGTTGTTTTATGCTTACTCACAAGGAGGAGTTAGCTTGATGATAATTGCAAGAATGACTGCAGAGTTTGGGAGTTTACAGCATTATTGATGCAAGGAGGAGTGTTGAAGATATGCATCAAAGGTGCTGTCAAAAAGAAGATGAAGATTTGATCAATCAGTTTTGAACGGTTATGGAAGTTACATTGATGAAAACTGATGTTTAGTTATGTGATGTTGTCATGTTAAGTTACATTTTAACCGTCAAGGTAGTTTTGTGATGTTATCCCTTTAAAAATCCATAAAAAGGGATTGAGTGTAATATGGCACATGTATGAGTTTTTTATGAATAAAATTTATCTATTCTCATGCATGTGTTCATCTTTATGAAATTGGAAGCCTGAGACTTGATTTGTTTAGCTTCCACTTTCCAACATGTTTAATGTTTGCAGCATTTCCTTCAGATAATAAGGTGTCCCCCAATATTCATACTCTACATTCATCTTGGCCAAGCAACCGCCTTCTCTGGTTGATGTGAAACTAAACTCTGCCACATAAGCATTCACTTTGAGGCCAAGGGTACCACCTCCAACGATAGAGTACTTGAATATATACATGGTTCTCGTGATCCATCACTTCGACGCGATCCTTAACATAGTTAAAGTCCTTAATAGCTGCAGTAAAGTGTATTCATATGTTATTGGTTAGATATTAAGTGAAGAAGATTAAGATCATAAACTTGTTAGGATTAAGATTCATTATGTCACAAAACATCAGTGAGGTTGAACTTTTTGATTGTGCCAACCCCACCATCTCCTTCAACAATTTCAATGCAGTAAATGACAACAGGCAGAAGCTTAACCATGAGGTTATGTGCATCACAAATTGAAGCCTTCCATTAAAGCCAAAGCCTTAAAATAATTAACTTATGCAATGATCTTGGATAAGTTTCTAATTTTTCCTTTCTTCTCTCCTGGAGGTTGATTAAGAAAACATGAAGTTGGGTTATGACCGACGCCCATGTACTTATCTTATTATACAAGCAATCTCAAGAGGGTAAGCTTTAATTCCTAAGTAAATTAGATTTACATAAGACATTAATATAAGTCAAATCAAGAATGGGAATATAGTGTTTTCATTTTTTTCTCACATAATTCTTCTGATATGAAAATGAGTTAAGCAATTGTTGACATGAGAGCCAGCCTGTATATTCCCACAAACAACATGCTAGAAATTTCCTGCTTTCAATCATAGGAGAATTACTCACTGTAGGCTGAGACTACATATGTCCCTCGTACTCGGAGAATCGCATAACATTGGGAATTCATATTCAGTATGTTACCAAATGATGTTTTAGATTACTGAAACATAGTTAATATTATCGAAATATCGTATAGCAGCAAAATCCATCAAATCTTTTTTGCTCTCTCTTTTTCCTTGCAAAAGTACTCCATTTGGTACGACTCTTGAGATTGTTAAGGGTCAGGATGCTCAGTGGTGTGAAAGCACAAAATGATATGAACATAACTGTCCCCAGAATTGTTATCTTCTTTCTGGACTCTAGTAACAGTAAAAAATTCATTAATATTCACTCATTCATTGCACCTCATGCTATGCTGAAAGATAGAAGGTCAAATATGTTGCTCTCGTGAACAAGCCAAATGATCCGAGCTAATTGAAAAGATAATTTCTCTGCATTAAAAAGCCTCAACAAGATCAAACAATATTCAACTTTAAGTTCTCCCTGCCAAACCCATTAGTCTAAAAACCAACTAAAGCACAAAAACTCACTCTTGACTCTTTTAAGTTTTAATGCCTCCATCTCCACTAGGGGCAAATTTTTCTCATGTATTCTGTTCTGCAGACACCTGGTCTTTCAGTCAAAGTGATCGTCGGAAAGGTTATCAATTAATCTTCATTAATCAATATTATAAAAATGAGAACTCAGCAGATATTTAATTGTCCTAAAGAGATTTGGCAGATTTAAAATGGTCAGACTCAAGAAACATACCTAAAAGGACATTTTACATTAAAGCATTGCACTATGTTCAAAAGTTTATAAAGTTTGGCTGGGATGGAAACCTCAAATCATCAAATAATTGCACGGTGGAATCTCCATTTCAGGCAATACTCACAAAAGGAAGATACTGCTACCAAAACTTTGTGAGATCTCCATTTCAATAATGCACTGAACAATCTCACTAATTAAGATCTATTACTTTAATCAAAACAAAGGATTTGATGCTTATTTGATTAACAACTTAATGTTTTCGAGATAAACGTTGCAGAATTTTTTGGAATCAAATGACCCTCCAGTAATTTTCTTGGCTATTGATACCAAAACCAAAAGGTTATCAAAGTGTGGTTTATGTCTCAATCACAAGGTAAAGCTCCTAAAAACCTTTTAAACAAATGTAAAGAATCTTCCTTTAAACCTTCCATCAATCTTTATGACAAAAACGAAAGGTGGGTTATGCTTTCCAGCACAAATAAACAAGAAATTTTGTCATTTTTAATTGGTACAGTGTTACTTGTGACAAAAGGATTCTCCAAGAGCGGAATTGGATATCCTTACACCTAAAAAGCTACTTTGACTCTTTTCAGTGCTGATAATGAAGCCATGAATGTAAATAAGGAAAACAACCATCATCTGCTCTTGTTCACTTTTAATTTCCTTTTTTATGGTCGGTTTTGGATATCCAAGACTGCATACACCTCTCTCAATTATAAATGGCCATCCATACAAAAGCAAATTCCCTTTGCCACACTATTTCAAGGTCCATACAAAGCACGCCGACCCCCCCTCTCTTGAACCCACCTCTGCTCTCGTTGCCCCTTTAAGATTTGTCATTTGATAATGACTTCTAAAAGCCAATCAAGCAGCAATATTATCTTCCTTCGAGAAAAAGAGATTCCTTACATGTCCCACACCATTTTGCCTTTCAAATATTCCTTCCTGTATACAAATAAATGCCACCTATTGACTCTTCATTCTCACTCTCCGCCATTTCCATCCCAGACAAAATATTTCTCTTTGGTTTCCTCTATTTTCCTCCATTTGCCTAATGATTCCGGAGTTAGAGGTACACTTCCTACCATTAATGGAGATTTCAATGTTTTATTCTTACATTGCACAAGATTTGTATCTCACCATTTTTAATCTCTCTTTAAATGCAGAAACCTAGAGTTACTGAAATACAACTTCGAATGGACTGCAATGGCTGTGTACAGAAGATCAAGAAGGCTTTACATGGCATCAATGGTAAATTGCATCTATTATCCTTTAATATTTTTCATTCCATTTCTGCAGCATTAGCATGGAAACATAATTGTGAAAGCTCCTTTCTGTTTCCAGGTATATATGATCTCTATATTGATTTCCCTCAACAAAAATTAACGATTATCGGGTGGGCAGACCCCGAAAGAATAATGAAAGCTATAAAGAAGACAAGGAAGACTGCCACAATATGTTCCCATTCAGAAGTCACAGATTCTAGCGATCAGCCACCAGAACAACCACAAGAGGGTGGAGGTGGACCACCCCCTGAAACAGCAAACCCTCCCCCACCATCACCAGAGGGTGGTGGTCCACCACCAGAGGGAGGCGGTCCACCAGCAGAAGCAGCACAAGCAGCTGAACCTCCGAAAGATCAAACACCACCACCACCACCTGAGAATCCACTCCCTCCACCAGAGAATCTGCCACCTCCACAGAATCCACCCCTAGTGGTGCAACCTTCACCCATTGCAGCTGAAACCAATGCCAGCCAACAAGCAGGTCCCTCTGGGCCAAAAGACATTGGAGACGTCCATGTTATATACCACCACCCTCCTGATTACGCCTACAGTTATGGCTACGCACCCAGCTACAGTAGGCACTGGAACAGATACAGTAATGGCCAAGGGTTTCAACAAGTTGCACCCCAAGGTCCACAACCCACCTATGTCACTCACAGTTACAACACTTACAAGCCATCACCTTATGTCACAGAATATGAATATGTCAAGTCACCACCAAGACATCAAAACTATAGCCGGGTGGACCACTACAGTGAAGATTATCATAGTAACAATGGCTATCACAACAATAACAGCAATGGAAACATCACATCAATGTTTAGTGATGAAAATCCGAATGCATGTAGGATAATGTAGAAGGGTTTCAGAGTTGATGATCAATCTGAACACGTAGCTGATGTTTGGTTGGTTTTGCTTCACAGGGAGAAACTTGAAAAAGAATAATTAATTAATGATGAAAGAGTCCCGTGGAAGTAATATTTTGTAATGAGCATGAGAAATTTTTTAGCTAGCTAGGGAAGAATGAGATTCTAAGCTTGTAAGTGCTGGGAGAATCGATTCTGCCTTCCACTTGTGAGATGGCTAAGACTTGGGACACCCGGCTGGGTAGTTCTTTATTGTAGAAGAATACATTAAAGATGTTATTATATTCTACAAAAGCACTGATCAGCCTTCCATTTTTGAAAGATTAACATCCTTCAGATTATATATCATCTATATCTCCTCCCTTCTGCCATGTCAAAAGATTCCATAAAGATAATAATGTCTTCGTAAAATGCCTTTCCAAAACAAAGTTAGTGTTTTTCTCAAACAAGTAATTCCTGAAACTTCCTTTTTCCTTCTTTTTATCATTTTTCTCCACCAAGTTTTCACATCAACAATCTTTATTAATTGATCTAAACCTTTAAGAAAACAAAAGGGAACCCGTATCACAGAAATTTCCAGATATTCAAACAGATGCAATCAAATCAACACTGGATACAAAAACTAACGAAAATATGTTCATAAGGCACTGCAACAAATTTTATGTAGACTATGGATCAAGAACCTTGTTTTGTTGCAGTGCCTTGTGAACAACATATTTTTCCGGTGGATCATAGCAAGGTTCTTGATCTACTCGAAAGACAACAATTCTGCCCCAAGTGAAACGCTGATAATTACACAAAGAAAAAATAACTACAATTGGTAAATCCTAAAGGTGGAATCCGGTGCTCAAAAACACTAATGAACGGATCAGGAGGAGGATGTTGACAAGGTAACTTAAATAACCGTGGAATCATGCAAATTAATATTCTAAAGACCCTGATTTTGCTTCAAGGTGAAAAAGGTTTTTATTAATGGCAGTTAAGGACCACGGAGCCAATGCTTGAGTATCAACCAGATCCGTACCACAAAACTAAAAGGTAATAAAAATCGGTGTTTCCTGTCCTTGATTTTAAAACAACATGTTCTTCCTTCCTTTTGGACTCACATTGATACAAGCACTAAATCAAGATTCCATTACACCAAATATGAACCAAATCCACATATTCTAAATTCACACATTGGTGGATATCGAAAAACATTAAATTAACGGCAAAAATTGTATCCAAACAGGTGATTGCAACTTCAAGAACACAACTTTAGAGAAAAGTTCCAATATGAGCATTCCATAAACTGACCAAATCCTCAGCAAAAACTGTAAGCATGGAACAGATATAGATATGGTACAAAGGCAAAAGACTCGCGTGAGCTTCATAATCTTGTAATTACTTAAACAAAATCTAAAATTTGTTCAACCATCTTTAGTACAGTCCTCTCATTAAGAAGTGGCTTTCAAGTATACACAGCTGCACATAAACACAGGCAAAAACATACAACAGCAGTGGCTAAATAAAATTGAAAAAATGCTTGGCTTCTATATATTGTAACAAAAGAACTCTCATCTACTGGTACTTGTGTTTTAGGGGGTAAAAATTACAGCAATGAGACAACAAATGCAAAAAAAACAAAAAATGTTACATGTACCCTTCCATTGATAATCCCCAAGAAAAGAAGAATTCTCGCCCCATGAACAAAAAAAAAATGTTACATCTACCCTTCCATTGATAATCCCGAAGAAAAGAAGAATTCTCACCCCATGAACATGACCCATAAAAAAATAGTGGACAAGAAAAGAAGGGATACAATTTTGAGGAATAAACAGGGATGGGACGAGACCCTCGCAGGGCTGGACCATGGAAAGGTTTAAGTTACCAAAATTGCGGCACCAAGAATAAGTCAACAAGCTGGTGAAAAATGATGGACAGCTAGCCCTTGTCGGATTAAGCCTCTCTGCCTTAAACCCACATATGGGGCACAACCATATGTAGCTTTTGAACTGTGAAGCAGAAAACAAGCAATAAGCCACAGAAGTCTGATTGCTTAATAGAAAGTTTTATGTCGAACATTAAATCAAGCAGCAAAGTTCAGTACCTTCTGATATTAACTGAGCCAACAAGCGGGAAAGAAAGAGAAAAATCAGAGCATGGATAGTGGCAGCCAACACAAGGCAAAAATTCAAAAAAAACTGTAATTTTCAGTTGTGTAGTAGTCTATCCAATTTATGCAACCTGAGCTAGCAACATCATCTCATAGCTAAACTATAAAACCTCCAATAATCACAATTTAAGAAAAGTACGTTTGCCCAATCATTTTCAACTGAAAACCATTAAAGTTCCATTATAAGCAATACTCAAAGCAAAGAATATCAATTTATCAAAGAATATTACCTATTGTAGTAACATGCAGTTTAGTCATCCTCATCACTACTTATTTGGGATTCATTATCTACTTCACCATAAAGAAGTTCTTCCCAATCTTCATCCTCATCCTCACTTTCATCTATTTGGTCATCATGTGATGGGATTTGAATTTTGTCATCGGTTGCCTTGTCAATCTTTTAGAACACATTAAATTAAAATCAGCAAATTATAAACATAATTGCACAACAATATCATATCAAAATGAGAACATTAAGCTATAAACCTGTGCCATTATAAGTTGCAAACGTCCTGATAATTGAAGTAAAGGTTGAAAAGCCACCTCTCTGGATTTGGTAATCTGGAAGAAGAAAAACATTATTTGAATCTGCCACAGAATAACTACAACTGAAAATATGGTCTTCTTACTAGTGATCGATCAGGAAAGCTTGGGTTGCCCCCCAGTAGGGAAGGGATTAAGACAGGATAAGGATACAGTGTACTTATTAGGGGTGACAAGTTATTTCAACTATTAAATTTTAGATAAAACATTTAAATGCATGAACCAACATTAAGAAGTTTTCTTCCACATTACCTTGTATAAGGAATTAAGCATCGGGTTTAACGATTTCTGAGACAAGACATGACTATGATTCACCAATATACTGTATATCCATTGAAGAATATGCTTTCCCCTATCTGACCTGTTCAACAAAGATAACTTCAAATTTCAGTCACTTTATTCATAACTATGGTATAATTGCTGCAACAGGGATTTCCTCAATTAAAAAGATTAGAATTCACAGATGGATAAGAAAGGTATTCATCCCATCATATACAAAAAGCAATAAAAGCTTCATGTTTGACCAAAGATTAATTCATAATTTTGAATCATTATTTTTAGATTCATTCATTCATTAGCCTGCTAAATAAAATGTATAATAGCATAAAAACAGAAATTTAGAATTCCAAACACTTATGTATATTAACGTAAAAGGTTGTGCATCAAACCTAGATTGCCACATGTTAACCAAGACTTCCAATAACTCGCATGCATTGCTAGGTGACATTGACAAAACAGCAGCTCTCATCTGATAGAGAAGAAAATAAAGTCATGATACTAGTTGTTATTAAATAAAAAAAACCACAACACATGCAACAATAAACTCATTTCTTATCTGCAAGTAGACAGACCTTCTTTTCAGGCATATTAGCTTCAAGATCAATATCATTAAACAGTGTTGATTTACATGCTAAGTTCAATCTAGGATCATCTTTGCCACTGAGTATCCCTAACAATCTCAATCTATCCTCCATGCAAACCATTGCAGAGTCTGCTTCCACTTCTACTGTGTCATCTGCACAGAAGAATCATAAATGCATAGGACCAAGAAGTACCATAATAACATTTTTTGCAGCAATATGCTTCAACATGAAAAGTAGTCAATCAAAAATAATGGCCATAGGTTAGCGAGAATATAACTTGATAACCAATACTCCTTCCATCTCATATGCCATGTCCCATCTTTGTCACGAAAGTTGTGATTTTTCCGCTTTGGAAAGGCAAAGCACAGAAATTGCTCTATCTCAAGCTACCCATAATGCTATAACCCCACCCCTCAAACCTAAATTATAATTACATGTTTAAGAGTCAAAGAAGCTTAAAGATACCTAGGTGATTTCGTATTTTTATGCTGTGATTACTTGGAACATTAAGTAATTTGGTCTGATGCAAGGCCTCTCTCTCTTCTCTTACTCTGCACCTAATTTCTTCTAAATTTCTTCCTTTTACAATTGAAAGCTACAGTTACAGTTCCCATATAATGCTTAAAATTACAGTAGATATCAGTATTCAGAGACTATTTATTTCACAATTTTTGAACTTTCACCATCTACCAAATTTTTCTTTGAAACCCTCACCAAATCTCAAACCTTGAATCCTGTACACATCTAAATTCTAAAATATCTTAAATTAGCCGACATCAAGGACTCACATATCTCATTGATAAAATTAGGCAGAACCGATAAATGGACATAAAACATACCTTTGCTCTCCACAAACTTTGCTTGAATTTTGCTGTCAAGTGAGTCAGCCATTACCTCACCAGGGTCAGTAATCAAAGTTTGATGTCTATTCTTCTTTTCATGAACATCTAAAATCTTTGGAAGTGGAAGTACAGCATCCTCTGCATATGCACGGTCCAATGCTGTGACTGTTGAATTAGGAAACGAGTAATCAGAGAGCCATGAAAAACTGAGAATGCAAATTAAGATTGAAAACTAAAGTAGACCAGACTTAAAAAGACTTTGATATAAGAACCCATATGCAGGGCGGTAATTTGAAAATAGAGTATCGATAATGAACCAGAATCCAATAAGTGTCCATACTGATTGCAGAAGAATTTTCAAGCTAATCTTAAACCTTTTATTAACTGTGAATTATGAAGAGATAATCGGAATAGAGTGCTTTACTATAAGGATCCACCAGATTAAAGAGTTATTAGAAACTTTTCAACCCACCATAAGCTTGACACTAATTTTGACCATTCAACAAATATCTGCATGTCTTAAAGAGATTTGGAAAAGTTAATGAAAATAATCCAAAATGATCATCAAGCAGAAGAAAGTTTGTCCAACTAGATGAATCCAAGAATAAATAATTTAACGTCATATTGACATTAAAAAAGCTCAAAAATAATGAAAAAAATTTACAGTTCTTTTTCCTTATTTTTCTGATAAGTCTGAGGGTTTTATGGTTTATAGAAAATGGTTTACAATGCACAAAATCCCGAATCAAGTGATCTAGAAAGTGAGCAGAGATGATCTGACAAGATTACTTGTGTTCAGGCCTTACCTCTGTTCTGTAAATCTAACCCTTTCTTAGATTTGATGACAGACTGGCTCATTGGCAGGAGGACTCCATCCTGAGAACTATGCAAAGTTATATCTGTCCCGGAATGCACTAAAATCTTCTGAAATGATGGCTTTATTAGCAATCCATGCACAACAAACGCGTGTGCAGAAGCTGGCTTGGCAATGCCTTGCAATTTTGCAGCAAAAATTGCAGGAAATGCACCCTTCTGATTTTGAGAGATAATACCTTCAGAGGATATTGAAATTTTTGTGGGCTTGGTATTGCGTAATTCATCAATATTCTTTCCATACCAAAAATAGCAAACACCAGTTTCTGAGATAGCCAAAACATATAGACCTGCATCATCAACTTCCCCACTATCAATGCACCTGCCATCAATGAAAACAGCTGGGTGTTCCATTGCAAGAACACAGCTAGCTGACTGTCTTTTTCCACCATCTGTTCTCCATAATGCAATACATCTTTCTCCAACAGCAGATGAGAGGATATATTTCCCATCTTCAGTAAACATCATAAAGCGAACTGCTCCCTATTAAATATAGTATAAAAAACAATTGGTTTATTAAAAACATCAACAGAAAAAATAAGACCAGATACAGACCAAATCACACTATGAAATTGAATAGGTGAAATGCACAATTCAAATATAACTCACAGGATGGCCCGAAAACTTCTGTATCTTTTTGTGGTCAGAGCAGTTAAAAGTCTTCAATTGTCCAGCAGCAGTTGCTAACATCTTGCCATCTACCATCAAGGACCACCCATCAAATAAAATGGCATCAGAAAAAAAGAAAAAACCAATGCCACTGAGTGATAAAATGAATTTCATAAAGATAAGGAGCAGAAACCAGCGAGCTTAAAATTTTTATTAATTAGAAGGATTCTCTTCAACTATTAAAAATTTCAGGGGTAGCACATGGTTAACTCAAATAGTTCTTCCTGTGGAATCCCAGCTACAATTCTCAAACAATCAAGTCTCAACACAACTAAATTACTTCCAGTTTGTTATGTCTTTTGTCACTCAATACTTGAAAATTAAACAATATTTTTCCAACCTCTGAAGTGGCCTTAAAGAGGCCCAGATGACATCTCAAAAGCTTGAGCATTAGCCACCACCTTACTACTATAGTTCAAATAGATATATTATTTTTCAGTTCAATTACATATATAACAGACAACACATCTAATTGCAGAACTCCATAATTCTATAGTTCAAATAGATATATTATTTTTCAGTTCAATTACATATATAACAGACAACACATCTAATTGCAGAACTCCATAATTCTAGACTGGATGCTTCCAAAGATAATTAATTCAGCCAGAGATCCAATCCCAAGGCATGAAAGAACAATGTGGACATAAAGTAATAGCATAGCAAAAACTCTGACAGATACATACCAGGAGAAACAGCCATACAGGATATTCTGTTTGTAGAACCTCTGAACTTTCCTATCAGATTTCCTGTCAGTGAATCAATTTCACAAATCATTCCATCAGCACCAGTACTGTAAATGCATGAACCATGGGTAGCAAAGGAAACAGCACTAACACCCCTGTACATGAGAGAGAACAGGAGAACAAAATGAGATTGACTGAGAAATCTAAAAATACATGTTAACATTACATACATGCACTAACATTGTCTTTTTTTAGGCTAGGAAATTAGACATGACATAGCATTATCCATTCCATGAGGCATCTAGTTAAAAAAATGCAAAAAACACAAGACCATATAGCCTCTGCCTTGCTTACAAGTAAAATAACTTTTTCCAACAAATAAGTGCTTTGAGATACTTGTGATGGTTCAACAAGAAGTCCTCACTTTCCAATACATGTCTAGCTTACTACATTCCCATGAGTTTCCAAGTCTTGAGAGATTTCCAAACCCCTTCAAAGCCGCTATAAATATCTGGAGCCAATATTTATACTGAACCCACCCACCCTTATCATTTAATGATTGGTTCAACAAGTAACTCACCCAGGATGGCAGTCACTTATTCTCCACTTCAACTGACCAGCAGCTACATCAAGAGCTAAAACATCCCCACTACCAGTTCCTAACACTAGCAATGAACTCCCAAGCTTTCGTTTTTTCTGCAATCATTGAAGTTTTTGCCAAAAGTTACTTTCAAACATAAAGATACAAAATACAAACACAAAAAATCCTCATTTTGATTTCAATCAACCTTTTTATCCAAAGCCAACCACTTCATACATGTGTAATCAACAGAAAGATGCCCTCTTTCCGGTTTATTAGAGTAAAAACTAGTTGTCTCAGTCGACGCAATGTCTGCAAATTCAGTCTGAACCTGGCCCTTCAAAGTATCCCATATCTAGCAACACCAAAGCAAAATCAAAACTTACTCAAACCCCACCATTTCTCTAAAAAAAACAAACAAACAAACAAACAAACACAAATAAATAAATAATGAAGTACCTTGATTCGAGCATCTCCAGCACATATAGCAAAATAGTCCAAAGAAGGACTGAATGAAGTTAAAATATCTCTAATATTTGACGACCCCATAATCCTGAATTATCATAATAAACCAAATAAGCAAATATATATGTAGCCCTTCTCGTAGTTTAAGCAACTCAACAAAAAAGCATCCTACGGGTTACTTGTCAGCTTGAACATTCAATTAAAGCAACCAACTTTGACAAACATGTCACTGTGAATTGACATTCTCTTAAGATATTTATAGTGAATATTTACGTAGAGAGTGTTAAGAAGAACGAGAACCCAGAGACTAACCTGACGAACGATGAAGTAGACGGCGTTGTGGGAGGTGAAGAGAGCAAGCGAGGTGGCGCGCCTCGCTCTGGTTTAGGTTGTTTTATAATTTTTTTTGGGTCTACGTTTGATTTACTCCTGGGCTTGGAATTGGGCTTAATATTGGGCTTCTGTTGTTTTTGTGGGCTGGATCTATTGAGGCCTTAGTGTCGAGTGGTGCTAAGAAGTCCCACTTAATTCTTCATTTTTTTTATTACAATAAAATCTTTGATCGCAATTTTATAAAAAAAAATAAAAAAAATGTTAATATCATTTGACAATTCAGTTTAAAATATAAAAAATTCCCTTTACAATCATCTTGTCCAATATGGTACTTTCATTTTTCTTCACATGTTGTGTACGGCTGCAGGCACGGAAAAACTTTTCTTTCATTCCTTTCACAATCTCGTTAAAATATACGAATTATATGATGTTAACTTTTAAAGTTCGAAAGAGTGATATTATGAAAAGAATCAAAGATCAAGTCAATGTTCCCTTTTCAAGCATTGAGATATTAAGTTTTGAAATGGTTATTAGAAAAATATCAAGTCAAAGGTCCTCCTTTGAAGCATTCTCTTTTGGTAACTATTTATTTAATCATAAAATCATTTTCCACTTTGGGTTCCTTCTAATCTAAAGACTCGGTACCTAATCCCCTTGTGTCAATACACTCAAACTCCTGTTCAATTCTATGCAATAAACCAGATTTAACTACTTCTCGTACTGATGGGACTCTGACCATACACGTGGCATGATGTGATTAGAAGAAAGGAGAGATTTTTTAACCGGTGCAACATCGCGGCCGATACCAACCACTTGACCAAACATGAAACCTACACCGCACACGTACCTTCTAGAACAAACCCTGCTAGCCAGTAGTAGCTAGCCAGGCCAACCACGCACAAACAAAACATAGCCAGTTTGGCGCGTAAATTTAACACACACAACACACGTGAGACAAGTGGCCAGCCGGCAGCCACCCCTACTAACTAACAAACTCATTTGCCCCCATTAAAATTCAATTTAAGCCACACGCCACGCACATGCCTTTAATGCTCCTAGTCCAAGCTATTATTATCTTTGGTAGGCAGTAACTGCCTTCAATAAATTAGAATCACAATTGAAATAGGTCGGAAAATAATAATAATAATAATAATAATTATTATTATTATTATTTGAAAGTCTCATTGTTATTCTTCTTGAAAATCATCGCTATTATAATATTATTTATATATTTTGGTAGTTGTTGAGCATTCAAATTCTCTGACCTACATTTGTGTCACATCTTCTCTTTGCTAATTCTTTTATTATTTTATTTTAGAGTAAACGACTTTTTCTCACCCCATGTTTGCCTTAGTGACCCTTTCAACCCAAAAAGTTTTAAAATACACTTTTCCATCCAACATTTATATTCCTTAATACTCAAAATATACTTCACTTTTTCGCCGATGTTAATGAGTTACTAGAAGCCAGTTAAAAGAGTTTTGTAAAGTGAGATTGCGTATCAAATGGTGTAACTATTAAATATTGTCTCGAAATCAATTGGAAATCAATTAAAACAAAAATTATAACTTTGTGTGATCGACAATCAACAAAAATTATGTCAGAGTGAAAGTGGTTTTGTAGGAGAATATCAGATGTTCAAATGGTGGTGATGAGAAAATTTACATTATCAGAACGATCGAAATGGCTTTGGGTAGTAATGAATATTAATTATATTTGATGTAAACACTTGATATTTTAAAACTTTTCGGATGGAATTGTCATTAAGGCAAACCTGAGGTGTGAAAAGTGATGAGTTAATAATGTGAAAATCTTTTTGAATAAATTCAACAATTCAAAAAGTCGTTTACTCTTTTATTTGAAGGGTTCTCGGAGTGAAAAATAATTAAGTTTATTTTAATTTAATCGTGGAGATTAGTATAAAGCAAGAAAGTATTAATCTCTGGATTTATATTTCAATATTTTCTTTATACTGTATAAATAATTTATTAACTTAAAATCTGGACACAATCTTTAAACAATTTTATTTTATTTATCTTAAATCAATTTCTCAAATATTATAATATTAAAACACACCTTGCATGCACTCCTTATCTTACGAAATAAGATAATTTTAGAAAATAAAGATGAAAAAAAAAAAGTCCACCAATAGGAAATTACTCGGACCGAGACACCGAGACAATGGGAACGGAGGCGCCAAGAATAAAAAATAAAAAGTAAAAATAATAAATAGTGAGAGAAAGTGACCTAACCTCCAACTGAAAGCTACCTACCACCAGCGTTCCTTCTTCCCCAGCCGATTCAATTCAAGTCAAAATTCAAAAATTAGCAGAATTTAATTAAATCCGAAAATGCAATAAAATAAAACAAAAATTATTACGCAAAATTACAAAAATCCGTCTTTGAAACCTACAAAACCACAACTACTCCTGCACGTTTCTTCCTTTTCCATCTGCCTATCTAACCTTTCTTTTTCACAATTTTATTCTTTCGAATTTATAATTTATTTCATACTCTCTGAAATCCTAATCTTCTGCTCAGGTCCGTCTGTTTTCTCCTCTTTTTTATTTTGTTTTCATATTTGATTTTGACTGGTATATGCTCCGTTTTGTTTAGTTTCCGAGACACCGACGGAATAATTAGAATTTCACTTTGAAATTAAGTTTGTTAGTTCAACTATTTGATGTATTTATTTGGAATGAGTAAGGTGATGAGAATGTGAGATTTTGTTTGTTTATTGTGTTTTTTTAATTTGCCTAATTTTCTTCGCCACCAAGCAGAGTCTTGATAATTGTTGATCTTTTGAGTTGTTGATTGATTATTAGGTGTTTATTTGATTAAACTACTCATGCTGGGATTATTTTGCTTCTAATTTTTATACTTGTATGTGAATGCTTTGTTATGAATCGCCACCAAATTTTATTTTATTTATTTATTTATTTATTTTTGGTGTTCTGCTTGTTGTCATTGTGTCTCTTGCATGTTTGTGGTTGATGTGCTTATGTCGTGTTCATGTTGCAGTGTAAAGAACAACCATGTCGAGTATGGAGGAGCCACTTGGGTTTGACAAGTTGCCAAGTATGAGAACTATTGATAGGATTCAGAGGTTTTCGGGTAGTGCTTGCCGGCCTAGTGGGGATGATATGGGAATGGGAAACTGCTGGATTGAAGGAATGAGTTGCAGCACCTCCAACAGTTGCGAGTGAGTGGCCATCCTTTAATCTTTACATTCTGTTCTTAGGAGACTAAATCTTTTTGTGACAATGTGGGATGGCTTCAGTAGTAAATTTGTATGAAACACATTAGTAGAGCTATTTGAAGTTTTCCAGCCTCTGGTTAGGGGAAGTTGTAGTAAGTAAATTGTGGAGCTATTGGGTGGTACGCTTGTTATTTGCTCTTATTACCACAAGGTCTGGGAAGATTTTTCAGAGCCACTTGTCTGGTAAAATGGCTAGAAGTTTTTTGCTTTTCAATGATTTTAGGGTTCAGCTGGACCCCAGTTTCAAATTCAAATTGGCAGAGTAGAATCAGGAGAATTCTAGGTTATCCAAACGAAAGAAAAACCAATTTCTCTTGTAACGTTACTTGAAGATCATGATGACTTTCTATAGTTTTGCCAAATCCTTTTATCTTGTAGTAGCTCAAACTTGTATTTGCTTCTTATATCTATGAATTATCGCCTCTGAGATTAATATGTTTGTTGCAAGTCACCACCATTTTACCAGTTGTATTTGTTGGTTATTACTGATACTTCTGTCTCCTGTTATTTGCAGTGAAGATCGTGATGAATATACACGGGAAGCATTCCCATGGAAAAGGCATACAAGAGACATGTCCCAAGGGGAGACCTTCGGTCGAAGGACAAAAAGCTTGGGAAGAAATCATATGATATTTGGAAATACTCTTGACAAATACAATTCCAAGTGTAATGATAACGACATACGAGATATAACAAATAAGGTAATTTAGGAGCTATAATAAAACCGCAATTTGTTATTTGTCTCAAATTTTATGAGCGTAGTTTCTCCAATTAGTAAGGTTATTTCTGAGTTACTTATTGTTTTCCTCAGTACTGGGTTATGCAATTGTTTCAGTGGCTAAACTTCATGATTTCCCTCTTTTCTGTTTATTTTTGGTTGTGAATGTTAAATTTACTTTTTTGATCAAATTTACTTTTTTGATATTAAAGGTTCTTATTTTGATCTTTTATTTGGATGAATCAGTTTTTGAAAGGCATACCATGGTTTGTGAAGATAGTAGAAGTTGGTGCTAGGGATGGATTGCAAAATGAGAAGAATACTGTACCTACCTCTGTAAAGGTGGAACTGATTCATAGACTTGTGTCCTGTGGGTTGTCTGTTGTTGAGGCTACAAGTTTTGTATCTCCGAAATGGGTTCCTCAGGTAATCTTGATTCCAGTTCTAGGTTGATATGTAACTTTCTTTCTTTCGTTTTGTCCCTTATTTGCTACAATGCAATCTCGTTATACAACTTATTGGTGGATGCAAAGAAGTTCCCTGGTTAAACTGTTGTTCTTGAAATTAACTCTCTTATTTCCATTTGTACATGCTTATGTATAATTCCTGCATATATTTATGAAAATATTTGTTTATTGTTTACTGTATCAATGCCTTATTCATTCAAATTGAATCTTGTGAGAATTACAGCTGTTAAAAACTATTTCTTGTTTGATGAAAGTAAGAGCTCCATCTTAATTCCCATTGTANTAAATTTAACACACACAACACACGTGAGACAAGTGGCCAGCCGGCAGCCACCCCTACTAACTAACAAACTCATTTGCCCCCATTAAAATTCAATTTAAGCCACACGCCACGCACATGCCTTTAATGCTCCTAGTCCAAGCTATTATTATCTTTGGTAGGCAGTAACTGCCTTCAATAAATTAGAATCACAATTGAAATAGGTCGGAAAATAATAATAATAATAATAATAATTATTATTATTATTATTTGAAAGTCTCATTGTTATTCTTCTTGAAAATCATCGCTATTATAATAGTATTTATATATTTTGGTGGTTGTTGAGCATTCAAATTGTCTGACCTACATTTGTGTCACATCTTCTCTTTGCTAATTCTTTTATTATTTTATTTTAGAGTAAACGACTTTTTCTCACCCCATGTTTGCCTTAACGACACTGTCCAATCCAAAAAGTTTCAAACTATAACTTTCCAACCCAACATTTATATTCCTTTAATACTCAAAATATACTTCACTTTTTCAGTCGATGTTTAGTGAGTTATTAGAAGTCAAATTAAGAAGAGTTTTGTAAAGTGGAGATTGGTGAATCGAATGGTGATAACTAATTAAAAATTCGTCGTCGAAATCAATTGTAAATCAATTAAGAACAAAAAATTCTAGTTTTGTGATGTTCGACAATCAGCAAGAAATTACACGTCGGAGTAAAAGTGGTTTTATGGAGAGAATATCAGATGTTCAAATGATGGTGATGGAGAGAATTTACATTGTCAAAATCATTCGAAATTGGTTTTAGGTAGTAATAGAATATTAATTTTAGGTGAAAAAGTAATATTTTGAAACTTTTTGAATGGAGAGTCATTAAGGCAAACTTGGGGTGTGAAAAGTTGATGAGTGAATAATGTGAAAATCTTTTTGAGTAAATTCAACAATTCAAAAAGATCGTTTACTCTTTTATTTTAAGGGTTCTCGGAGTGAAAAATAATTAAGTTTATTTTAATTTAATCGTGGAGATTAGTATAAACCAAGAAAGTATTAATCTCTGGATTTATATTTCAATATTTTCTTTATCTAAATAATTTATTAACTTAAAATCTGGGCACAATCTTTAAACAATTTTATTTTATTTATCTTAAATCAATTTCTCAAATATTAAAATATTAAAACACACCTTGCATGCACTCCTTATCTTACGAAATAAGATAATTTTAGAAAAAAAAAATAAAAAAAAAAGTCCACCAATAGGAAATTACTTGGACCGAGACACCGAGACAATGGGAACGGAGGCGCCAAGAATAAAAAGTAAAAATAATAATTAGTGAGAGAAAGTGACCTAACCTCCAACTGAAAGCTACCTACCACCACCGTTCCTTCTTCCCCCGGAAATTCAATTCAAGTCAAAAATTAGCAGAATTAAATTAAATCCGAAAATTCAATAAATAAAATAAAAATTATACGCAAAATTACAAAATCCGTCTTTGAACCTACAAAACCACAACTACTCCTGCACGTTTCTTCCTTTTCCATCTGCCTATCTAACCTTTCTTTTTCACAATTTTATTCTTTCGAATTTATAATTTATTTCATACTCTCTGAAATCCTAATCTTCTGCTCAGGTCCTTCTGTTTCTCCCTCTTTTTATTTTGTTTTCATATTTGATTTTGACTGGTATACGCTCCGTTTTGTTTAGTTTGCCGAGAAACCCGGAATAATTAATTTCACTTTAAATGAAGTTTGTTAGTTCAACTATTTGATGTATTTATTTGGAATGAGTAAGGTGATGAGAAGGAGTAATTTGTTTGTTTATTGTGTTTTTTTAATTTGCCTAATTTTCTTCGCCACAAGCAGAGTCTTGATAATTGTTGATCTTTTGAGTTTGATTGATTATTAGTGGTTTATTTGATTAACTACTCATGCTAGGATTATTTTGCTTTTAATTTTTATAATTGTATGTGAATGCTTTGTTATGATAGCAATTTTTTTTTTTTTTTTTTTTTTTTTTTTTTTTTTTTTGGTGTTCTGCTTTTTGTCATTGTGTCTCTTGCATGTTTGTGGTTGATTGCTTATGTCGGTTTTCATGTTGCAGGTAAAGAACAACCATGTCGAGTATGGAGGAGCCACTTGGGTTTGACAAGTTGCCAAGTAGGAGAACTTTTGATAGGATTCAGAGGTTTTCGGGTAGTGCTTGCCGGCCTAGTGGGGATGATAGGGGAATGGGAAACTGCTGGATTGAAGGAATGATGTGCAGCACCCTCCAACAGTTGCGAGTGAGTGGCCATCCTTAAATCTTTACTTCTGTTCTTAGGAGACTAAATCTTTTTGTGACAATGTGGGATGGCTTCAGTAGTAATTTGATGAAACACTAGTAGAGCTTTTGAAGTTTTCCAGCCTCTGGTTGGGGAATTTTGTAGTAAAATTGTGGAGCTATTGGGTGGTTACGCTTGTTATTTGCTCTATTACCACAAGGTCTGGGAAGATTTTTCAGAGCCACTTGTCTGGTAAAATGGCTAGAAGTTTTTTGCTTTTCAATGATTTTAGGGTTCAGCTGGACCCCAGTTCAAATTCAAATTGGCAGAGTAGAATCGGAGAATTCTAGGTTATCCAGAAAGAAAAACCATTTCTCTTGTAACGTTACTTGAAGATCATGATGACTTTCTAGTTTTGCAAATCCTTTTATCTTGTAGTAGCTCAAACTTGTATTTGCTTCTTATATCTATGAATTATCCCTCTGAGATTAATATGTTTGTTGCAATCACCACCATTTTACCAGTTGTATTTGTGGTTATTACTGATACTTCTGTCTCTTTTATTTGCAGTGAAGATCGTGATGAATATACGGAAGCATTCCCTGGAAAGGCATACAAGAGACATGTCCCAGGGGAGACCTTCGGTCGAAACAAAAAGCTTGGGAGAAATCATAGATTTTGGAAATACTCTTGACAAATACATTCCAAGTGTAATGATAACGACATACGAGATATAACAAATAAGGTAATTTAGGAGCTATATAAAACGCAATTTTGTTATTTGTCTCAAATTTTATGAGCGTAGTTTTCAATTAGTAAGGTTATTTCTGAGTTACTTATTGTTTTCCTCAGTACTGGGTTATGCAATTGTTTCAGTGGCTAAACTTCATATTTCCCTCTTTTCTGTTTATTTTGGTTGTGAATGTTAAATTTACTTTTTTGATCAAATTTACTTTTTTGATATTAAAGGTTCTTATTGTGATCTTTTATTTGGATGAATCGTTTTTGAAAGGCATACCATGGTTTGTGAAATAGTAGAAGTTGGTGCTAGGATGGATTGCAAAATGAGAAGAATACTGTACCTACCTCTGTAAAGGTGGAACTGATTCATAGACTTGTGTCCTGTGGGTTGTCTGTTGTTGAGGCTACAAGTTTTGTATCTCCGAATGGGTTCCTCAGGTAATCTTGATTCCAGTTCTAGGTGTATGTAACTTTCTTTCTTTCATTTTGTCCCTATTTTGCAACAATGCAATCTCGTTATACAACTTATTGGTGGTGCAAAGATTTCCCTGTTAAACTGTTGTTCTGAAATTAACTCTCTTATTTCCATTTGTACATGCTTATGTATAATTCCTGCATATATTTATGAAATATTTGTGTATTGTTTTACGTATCATGCCTTATTCATTCAAATTGAATCTTGTGAGAATTACAGCTGTTAAAAACTTTTCTTGTTTGATGAAAGTAATCCCATCTTAATTCCCATTGTAGATATTTTATAACCGCATTGCTTCTGTTCTTTTACTTTTAAGAGCTCCATCTTAATTCCCTTGTAAATTATTATAACCGCATTGCTTCTGTTCTTTTACTTTTTAAAGAGCTCCATCTTAATTCCCATTGTAAATTATTTATAACAGGCATTGCTTCTGTTGTTTTACTTTTTGACATTAGCAGATGCAAAGGATGTAATGGAGGGAGTTCGCAATTTGGAGGGAGCTAGATTGCCTGTTCTCACCCCTAATATGAAAGTCAGTTTATGTTCTCTAAAAATCCATATGATTCCTGGCAGTGCTATGCCAGTCTGACAATTTCTAACCTGTGGCTCAATATCTAGGGCTTTCAAGCTGCTGTTGCAGCTGGTGCTAAGGAAATTGCAGTCTTTGCATCAGCTTCTGAGGCATTTTCGAAGTCAAACATCAATTGCAGCATTGAGGAAAGTCTTGCTCGTTATCGTGCAGTTACTCTAGCGGCTAAAGAACTCTCAATACCTGTTCGTGGGTATGTCTTTTTTCCCCTTCTTCCCTTTCTAGCCTTCTTTGTCCTACCCCCAGCCACCCATCTGTTTCTCTCCCCTTTCCAGGGATATTCTATTTACTTCTATGAATTGTTAGTGAGAATTCTTTATGCTCAGGACCATTCTGTAAGTTTTGTATGGTTTTAGTTCTGTCTTTTTAATAACTTTGCTTGCTGACTCTGTATCTTTTGGTGTAATTCACGTTTAAATGGTTCCATTGTAAGGGAACCATATTTATATTGAAAAATTGTAAGGAGACCATATTCTTTATCAATTTTGCTGGGTCTGAGATGCTGAACAATTTGAATTCTTTTAGGTATGTATCGTGTGTTGTCGGATGTCCAGTGGAAGGAGAGATTCATCCATCCAAAGTGGCATATGTGGCAAAAGAACTTCATGATATGGGTTGCTTTGAGATTTCCCTCGGTGATACAATTGGAGTTGGTACACCAGGTAATTTTCTAAACTGCCTTTTGTTTTCTTAGCAAAAGTACTTTTGAATTAAATAAGAGTGTGACTAGTGTCAAATTATTCTTGGAATTTTATTTTATTGAAAACTATCCTTTTACTTATTTTGTTTGGGTGGGGAGAGGGAGGGAAACAGGGAGGAGGAGGTGGGCTACACCTTTACAGGATTAGACATTAAATTTTTTCCTTTCTGATGAATGGATTCTCAAGTTTTGGAGTACTTTATTTCATTTCTGTTTTCTTTCTTTTTCTTTGGCTCAGGTACTGTTGTTCCAATGCTTGAAGCTGTTATGGCCGTTGTTCCTGTTGAGAAGCTTGCTGTTCACTTCCACGATACTTATGGACAATCTCTTTCCAATATTTTAGTATCCCTTCAAGTAAGCCATAGTAGATCCAATCTTATGATGATAGACATTCTTATCTAGTTGATCAGTCTTCGCTAATGATCACCAGAAGTCCATTTACATTAGCCCAGATTTCTTAGAGATGAAGCCACATTCTTTTTCACTTGGATTTGATGATATTCTGTAGTGACTAGCTCATCATGTTTTGTTTTTGTGAAACTGATGTTAATTTCATTTCCTTTTGAATTTGTCGCCACAGATGGGGATTAGCGCAGTGGATTCCTCTGTTGCGGGTTTAGGTGGGTGTCCATATGCTAAGGGTGCTTCTGGTAATGTGGCTACCGAAGATGTGGTATATATGCTTCACGGGCTTGGTGTACAAACCAATGTGGATCTGACGAAGCTCCTGTCTGTTGGCGAGTTCATCAGCAAACAGTTGGGTCGTCCATCTGGTTCCAAGACAGCCATTGCATTGAACCGGGTAACAGCGGATACCTCCAAAATATAATATGGTATTAGATGTATCTAATATATGAGTAAACATGTCAAGTCAGGAAGAGATTTGATTCTTACGAGGCATATTCATAATATGTATACTACCTGGTATATATATTATGTATAATACAGGAATAAAAGTAACTCGAAGCCATGAATCCAGTGGTTGTAATTTGTTTACGAAAAAATTCAGCGTGTTCAAGTATTTCAGTAGCTGATTATCCAAGGCAGAATCCATTGTTAAAAGTGAATGGGAATTGCATCATCTTAAAAGATGATTCCTTGTATTCTCTTGCGGAAAACAGTTATTCATACTTAGAAGTAGAACAAATCAATTCTCACATCATTTACATTCATCAAATGAAGTATTTATGTTCTTTCTGATTGCATAATAGTTGTGTTACAACTTATAAGATGATTAAACCTATTTTTGCGTATAATTTCACTGTATCCAAGACCCAATTTGTTCACTTAATCGAGATTATCTAACACTTTGGATCGAGTAGGTACTTCATATTTAATGAAAGCTTAATCAGACATTAACCAATATGATGAACACAAACAAATAGAAAACTATCAGTATCTTTGACTCCAGTGAAACAATATTAATTTGTCTCCAAGAAGCTGAGTTTCCTACTGTTGATTCCCCAGTAAGTTTGATATGCTCAATGGCGCTTCTTATTACCGCCTTTCTTCTTACCATGGTGCTTCTTTCCCCTTCCTTTCTTTTTCCCTTTGCCACCCATAGGTGTACCGGGATCACTGTTTCTTGACGGGGTTCCATGTAACAGATGCTTCACATCAAGTACACCATTTCTAAAACGACCTTCAGTCGACTTAAGCACCCTATCCTCAGGCCTGCGCTTCTCCATTGGTTTTTTGGAGCCAGCAAACTTCCCTCCAAATCGTCCAAGAATTGCCCTCTAAAAACCACAGTTGGTTAATACAAGTGCATCAAATTTTGCAACAAACCATTAGAAGGGTGAAGAAATCAATCACCTCTTCTTGCAACTTCTGTTCTCTTTCCTTTTGTCTCTTCATGGGTACTCGGGCCACACTTAATGGTAGTCTCTGCTTCTTAGGAGGCTATTGAAACAACAAGCATGAAAGAAATATTCAGGAAGAAATTAAATTGCATTACAGTATATAGGGCTTTAAAGAACATAAAAATAAATAAATAAATAACTGTCCTCAAAGCTTGCATGCTTTGTGAGTTCTTACCTTTCCACCTAAAGATACAACCCTTTTGTTCTCCAGTTCTTTCCTCTCTTTCCATGTCATGTGCGAGGAACCTGAGATGGCAGAATATCAAAGTTAACAAAAAAAAAAAACTAATTTGCATTCATGCATCGACTGTGGAGGGGCAATAACCTAAAACAAATTAAAAGAACAAACAACCATGGGATGAAATTGATTACAGTAGCTCACCAGCAAATACACACAAAATAGTACAAACCCTCTCTTTGTCAAAAGTTATAGCATTCCTACACATCCAGAGAATCAAATCATGGCTATCAAAGTGCAAGCTCCAGAGACTTATCCTACAGCTAGATAGGATTTAAAATATAAAAAAAAACCCAAAAACAAGACCAATGATAAAATCTGGCACAGGAGATTGAAGCTGAGGCAAGTGAGGCAGGCAGGAGTGCTTCAGGTACTGCTATGTCAGAGAAAAAATTTACATCCTATAACAGCATAGTTATTTGGTAAATTTCATTCTTCACTCTCATCAAATTATTTCTGCTACTACATTTCCACCCATCAATGAAACTTATAGTAAAGTAGTAGCATTAGATCAACCAATTTTCGCCATGCGAAGGTCTTAATCTGACAATTGTTCAAAAGAAAAATTAATTCCCTTCAAGAACATTAGGACCAATAATGATACTCCTATAAAGTACTTCCCAATACAACAAACTTTCTTCAAGAAAACACTAAGGAATTCTAAGCAGAATTCACAAATATCACCCCTCTATTTAAATTCAATTTCGAAATTGTATCTTTCTCTCCCTCTCTGTCTACGAAGCTCTCAGCCCACGACATAAGTTCAGAAGAAAGCATTTGAATTACTTAATTGCTTTTTCTATACTATATTAACCCCAAAAACGAGAACAAAAAAAATCCAATACAAACAGTTTCCACTAGAATCAACAAAAACATGCATCAAAGAAATATTTGATAATCCACGTACAAATATCTTCACAATTAAATGGAAAAAAGAAATTAAGCTGAAATAAAAGTAAAAAATTACCCAGAAACTCTATGTCTTTCATAATTTTCCTCAAGTCCATCTCTTCCTCCTTCGTCTCCATATCTCTGCTTTGCTTCTTTTTATTCATTTTTTTTTTTCTTCTCTGCACTTCGCACGTCCTAGTTCAGAACAAAAATTCAAAGATTTGTGAACCAAAGATATCAATACTCAATAGAAAGAAATTGTAGCGAAGGCGAAACAACGTAACAGTGAGAGAAACTAAAGGCTTGACGAGTGTATAAGCGACACCGGCGGGAATAAGAATCTACAGCGGCGGCCGTGGCCTTTAAAGTATTTATTGGGTTATCGGAAAGAATACCCTTTAATGGTTAAACCCTTTCTTCTTCGGGCGACTTTTTGAGGGCTCGAAGGTAGAGGTTTTTTATTTATTAATGGGCCGATATTAGCCTATCAAGGTTCCGAGAATTTAAATGGGCTCCACTCGGCCCAACTATTTGATTTGGACAATCCATTTAGTGGTCCAATCTCATAATGGGCCAATAGATGTGTACTGTAAATGGGCTAAATTTGGCCCAAATATTTGAAATTAGACAATCACTTAGTTGTCCAATCACATTGTGGGCCTCCTTGGACCAAGCAAGGTATGGCCTAAACCATTTAAACTTGGGCGGGTAGAAATAGAACCGTAGGACTAAGAATTTAAGTCCTAATCAATTTGATATATCCACTTTTGAGATATCTTAGTTCAATTTGAATATGATATAATAAAAATCTCTTTTTTTTTTTTTTTTAAATAGGTGTCCGAACTAGCTTGCGCAGACCTCGACTAGTCACTGTATCTGTATGTAACTAGGACAACATCCCACCACCATATTCACCTGCTTAAATCTGGAGAGCAAGGGAGATTCGAACCTGAGACCACTGTTTTAAAACTCAGACCGGAGGACAATCCGCTCTGCTACCCAAGTCACGGGTCAATCGGTCCAACTAGTTGGATCGGTGACGTCATCATACTGACGTCAGCACTGCAAAAAAAAAAAAAAAAAAAAAAAAAAACCTGTTTTTTTTTAGATTTTGAGATTTCCATGTTTTTAATATGACAATAACAACTTAATTACTGCCCTATGATTCAACGTTCAAATTCAATGACAATCCCAACATAATTTAAGTATTTAATAACAATCCAAAGTCCAAATCCAAACATGATATTGTGTTCATCCATTATATATTAAATGACAAAACACATAATAATTAATAACAAAACATTGGGTGCAAGTGTTTTTTCTTTGATCCGTTTTCATGTTGATTGAGCTTCACACACTAGCATCAAAATTCATCATCATCATCACCATCACCATCATCTACATAAATTTCAGTAAAAAAAAGAAATCATAAGTTAAAACTTGTAATTTAATTTAAAATAGATACTAAGTTACTTAAATATTTGAAACCAACCTTCTGAACCATCGGTTGAATCATAAAAAGAAGGGTGATCAACAACTCCAGCAAGAATAGATCCTTCTCCATATAACATTTGTTTCAACTCCTCATAATTAAGTTCACTAACCTCCTCTTCATCGTCAACTATCCAACCTTCAGTTTTATCGATAGTTTCATAATCAATAGAATCGAAACTTATTTTCTTAGAACACCTCCTAAAATACCACAATGAAATATTAAAAGCATGACAAGTAAAATATCAAGGAAAATAATAGATAATAACAATAAGAATGATGCATAATTGAGTAATTGACAATGTTTTATACATGTTTTGCAAACGCAAGTTATAGTGAATAAAAACAAGATCATTCAACCTTTGATGCTCCAATCTATTCCTCTTTTTAGTGTGTATGCGCTAAAAAACACTCCAATTTCATTCACATCCCGAAAAGCTTGAAGTTTGGCTAAGAATTTTTATTGCAAACTTTTGCAAATTTGGAGTACTATACCCAAATGATCTCCACCATTCATCTGATTGAAAATTAAACATAATAAATAAATTAGACTTAAAAAACAAAAGAACTCATAAATTTTATAACTATTATATAACAGGACGTGTAGTTTTCGCGGTTTCAAGAACAAGCCCACGAGAAAAGCTTTCCTCCCGGTTTGAATATAATCTACTCTCTTCTATTAACCTTGTCTTGTTCAAATTGAATGCACTTGCTTTACTGTCAATAGTATCAAGGAAACCACTCATGACTTCTAGCTTGGCACAAAAAGATGCTTCGTCATATTTAAAGGTAAGATTCAAATAATAAGCCGCAACATGGATATCACGGCGCAACGTCCTATCCCAACGTAGCTTAATGATTCGTGTATAAGGCTTGTACAATCTCTTTTTATTCTTAAAAAACTTCTTAATTGCATTTTTCGCTCTGTACATGTCATCATACACATATCATATTGCAGGCATCTCATCTGAGTCAACAATCTGTAGCAAGTGCATCAATGGACTCACAACTTTAGATATCTTACCCATATCATCCCAAAAATCGTTATCTAGAATTATGCCAATAACATGTTTGCCTTTATTACTTTTTGCATATCAAGAATCGACAAATGACTTATTTGTCACCATAGCTTGCAAGTCATGTTTGTGCTCATGAAGACTTCTTATTGCAATGAAAGTTGTAGCAAGACGGGTTGCGCCCAAACGGACAATTTCTTTCCCACCCTGAATTTCTTTCCAACCCTGTTCAATTGATAAATAATAGATGTTAGTCAATTATAAAAAATGCATATTATGTTATGACTTGACAAGAACATGAGCTAAAGGTATATTACCTATCTTTTCCTCAACCAAGCTATCAAGAATATATGATTATATACAAATTTCGTCACCTCAAAAGCACGTCTCACAAGATAAACTATGTGATCTATCTCAGCTATGTCTTTTAAAACCAAATTTATGCTATGTGCTACATAGAGCGACCAAGTAATACTCGGATATTTCTCAGATAATATTCTTCCAGTAGCTTTATAGTTGGATCCATTGTCTGAGACAAAATGGACAATACTATTTGGTCCAATCCATAAAGCTACCTCCTCAAACATCTTCAACAATGTCCTAGCATCCTTCACAACATTTGAAGCATCAACTGATTTCACAAAACAAACTCCCTTAGGACAATACACCATAAAATTGATTAATGACCTATGTGAATTATCAGTCCAACCATCAGCCATTAAAGTACATCCAACATTTTCCCAAATCTTTCTACAACTATCAACAAGAAGCTGCACTTCCTTCTTATCATCTCTTAACAAATTGACACGCAAACCATGATAATTTGGGTGTTTATACCCAATCCCAATTGCAGCTATAGCATCCACCAAAGGCTGAAGATAAATTGAATTTACAGCATTAATTGGGATGCAAGCATCGTAAAAGAATCTTACAAAAGTCATGTCTACTCTCAACATCGCATCTTTTCCAACTAAACAACTCCTAATTGATGGTTGAGATCCAACAACTGTCCTTGGAGCAAAATAGTCACCAACCCCAATAGGTTTTTTCTTTTTGATTTGTCTAGCATTGTACTTTGTTTTTTACTGCCAAACCTACCTTCATTTATGTGAATTTCTAATAAATGAAACGCTTCACTATCTTCGTTTAGCATATCTCCTTCAAATCCATGTACGGTAGCACTGTAAGGAGTATTATACTTACTAGAATCAGTCTTCTCTTTATTCTTTATCCCAATGTCTTTTAGTGATTCTCTCATCAAGTATTGAACATCAAAAGAAACTTTTAAACAAGCACCAACATCCCCATTTGTTCTAACTAGATGTTGTTTCATTCTAAAAATACCTCCCCCTCTAGTTACTTTCCCATAGTGAAGACATTTTAATGTCTTCCTTCCATTTGGATCTACACCCTCAATAACATGTGTCCATGTTATATCAGTTTTACCTCTACTAGATTGTGAAAAAGACCTATAGCCAGATGTTGACATTGTCTGTTTTTAATCTTTATCTACTTGTCACACAAGAAATAACAACAATTTAGTATATACTTGGCATATTAAAACACCAGCATATTATGGACGCATTCAAGGATTGAATCTAATTAATGCAAATCTGCACTGAAAAGAAAGGACAAACATGATAAAAGCTACAAGATCCATAAAATTATGCCAAAGAAAAAGAGCAAACACATAAATTAAGTATGATATGGCCCGCAATAGCTTAATGGACAAAAAAGAATTCCACTATATTTGAAGTAGTTGGCATACAAGACTGGAGTTCTTGCCATAGCCAACTGTTATGAAGTATAATTATTAAGGGCTATGTTTGACATTAACATCTCTTGCATGCTTCAACACACTAAGTCAATCAAACAAAAAACACTACAAGGTAGAACAATTGGCTGAGCTACTTTCCACAATAAAACGGAATCACATTTTTCAAAAGAATCATTGTTTCCAAATTTCATTGTTAGATAACTTAAAATATAAACTAAAAACTTATATTTTTAAGATAGCTCAAATAATCTATATATGACTTGTTTACGAATAAGCAATACAAGCTTTGAACTATAAGATAACAGTAGAAATTACACAATTACATAGCTATACAGAGACTTGATGCAGTTTTTCCATAACATAAACTTCCCTATAGACTGATAAATAATCTCTAATTCTCATAATCAAAGGCAATGTATTCCTCAAATTATGAGTAACATCATTGGCATAAATCAAATGCCCATTCTCACCCACATAATTAATTCAAGATAGACATGACTGGTGAAACAATCTAGATAAGCTATAAATTATTTCCTAACTTATCATCATATAACAAGAACTTAGATACATCAACTTGATAAAAGCAAATTACCTTTTACACTTGCCTCAAAAGGGACATAAGTGCAAAATATTCTAGTATCAATCAAAGATTAATTGAGTAAAACAGAAACGAAATAATACCTTGGTCAGACACAAGCAAATTGAATATCTTAAAACCTAGATTTCAACAATCAATTTCATAACAAATTTGTAAATTAATTTGGGTTATTTGCTACTGACTACTGAGTTACTCCTGCCACTCTTAAAGAACAACGTTACAGATGTTTCTTAACCTATATTTTCTCCATTGACAATATGAAACTAGATCTGCAAAAATGAAAAGGGTCGTGACTCATGAAAAACTTACACTTTCTGAAATGGAGTTGTGTTGTTGTCCATTTCCAGTGAGGAATGGAGCTTTCGTTGTCGAGGAATGGAGTTGTCGTCGTCGTCGTCATCGATTTCCAGCGAGGAATGGAGTTATCGTCATCGTCGTCAATTTCTAGCAAGGAATGGAGCTGTCATCACTGATTTCCGGCGAGGGAGGAAGGCGTCATTGTCGACTTCAGAGAGTAGAGTTGTGATTGACACAATGGTTGCGATTTCAGACTTCAGAGAGTAGAGTTCATTGAGATTGAGTGGCGATTTGAGTGGGTAGCTTAGATTTCAGATTTTCAGAGGATCGTTGCGTAGAGAAAGTAGAGAAGCTGGAAAGACAATGGTGTTACCATGTTAACGGTTTTTTCCCCTTTTGAATATTGGACTAGTTTATCAAGCGGTTCGCACTATTTTCTCGGTTCAATGGCGGTTCATAGCGGGTTATGAATATAACCGGGTTTTATATTGATTTGGACCAGACATGTGACCGGGTCGCGGTCCAACAGATTGGACCGGCCGATTCAATCCGGTTTTTAAAACCATGCCCGAGACCGTACGCGTAAAAATTAAGCTTTTAAATATATACGTTACAGTTATATAAATCATCCAAAGTTTTGTGTTTTTTTTTTTTTATCATCAAGGGGGTTTGGACCAGCTTGCACACACCTCAATTAATCTCCGAGGACCCTAGAACTGTCCAACCGATTGGACCAGCCGATCCAGTCCGGTTTTTAAAAACAAGCCCGAGACCGTACGCATAAAAATTAAGCCTTTAAATATATACGTTACAGTTATATAAATCATCCAAAGTTTTGTTTTTTTTTTTTTATCATCAAGGGGGTCTGGACCAGCTTACACACACCTCAATTAATCTCAGAGGCCCTAGAACTGTCGATCGGGTAAGAGCTTTAGTGACTATCCCTATTAGTGCTTAGGGGACCTCGAACTTAAAAGCTTATAGAACCTTCTTTTACTCTTTACCATCATGTCAACCAATGGTGGTTAAACTTAAATCATGCAAAGCTTATACTTTGAAATTTTGATTTCCAGAAAGCAATGGATAAGATGATAAGATCAACTCAATTAAGGGGAAATTAAAACCTGCAACTAGATGAGGATAGAATTAAGGTATAAGTTTTAGGAGAATAATTTAGTTGTTCCTTTAAAGTAAAGAATATAAGAAGACTCTTCAAACATGGGAAGGGAGCTGGGATTCTTTTTAAGATAAATCAAGTTGGCTTTTATTAAAGATGCAGTGCCTTCCAAGTTAAATGGAGACCAAGCATGAGTCATTGCCAAATTCAATCACACTGGCAATGGCCATAAGGTATTAAATCAAGATAGGATGATATCTAAATATTTTCTTATTTCCAGGCAAATGACTTGGAATTTTTATATCTACCATTTCAACCCAACATGTCAATTCACATAAAATAAAAAATTTTACACTGGAAATTATACTGCATCAAACCTTATAAACAATGAAGGATTTCAATTTAGATAGCTATATGAAAAACAAAAGAAAACAAAAATTATGCAAGTCCCTTTTATGTGGATTGAGCCGACGCTACCAAAAATTTCCTTACACATGAATGAAGATATGAAACTGTACATGTAATCTGCAGATAGTGAAACATGTGAAAATGGGAATATGGCAAACTATTCTAGACATGTGTCTTATTGGAAAGAATCTGACCTAATTTTTTGAGATGGTAAATGGTAGAAGAAAATGATTTTTCCAAGTGGGATTTTAGCATGAAGAATGATAATCATAATACTGAGGCTCTACCATAAGAATTAATGAGATGAAAGCAAGTCGAGGAGGAAGTATATGAGCTTTCAAGGTCAGGGCACGGTTCAGGGGACACTGACTCTGAAGATCCTTGAACATATGAACATGACCAAATATTGGAAGAGGCAGAATTGATTGATAAGGAAATATTGGATAAACATATATTGGTTAAGGGAGATTCTTGTATTCCTGTGAAGTTTCCTGCTATTGTAATGTTTTTTCCGATGATATCTTGCAAGGTGATTTGATCAAGAACTGGGAGAGCATTTGGATCAAAGTTGTCGTCGGGGTGGGTCCCGCAAAGACTGCTGGCACCAAATGCCCTTTGGATGTTTTGTAAATCAACATCTGATATAATAATCTCTTTAATATAAGCACCTCTACCCCTGGTTGTTCTGAACTCAATGCCATTTAATGAGTTGTAAAGGTGGACCTTCTCCACCAATACATTAGAAATGCCACCAGACATTTCACTACCAAAGGCAATAGTAGAACCTGAAGATGATTGAAGATGGACCTTTCTTATATGTATAGCTGTGGTCGGCCTACCATAAGCAATGCCGTACTCGTCCCAACCACTCTTGAGAGCAATTGCATCATGCCCCATGGCAATGCTGCAGTCCTCAATGCAGACATTATCGGAAGAATCTGAGAGTAACAATAAACTTATGTTAACATTAGACAACAAAATCTTCCAACATGATTGTCCCAAAACACAAATGAGATAGGCAGAATGCGTATAAACAAGTGAAATCATAGGTTATATATTTTGGAAACAAGGGAATGTGAGGGACAGTTCAGCTCCACCTAAAAAAGCAATATGAAATTTGAAATTGTAAACTAGTTTGAAGCTCAGTATAAAGATCTCAGCACTCAACTACTAATTCACTGTACATAAGAACACTTGGAAAGCATATATTCCTTTTTTTTCTACAAAATATCTTCTTCCCTGATTGTCGTTGAGCTTTAAGAAAAAACTCAGAAAGAAAAGACCAAAAAGAATAAAATGATATCTTTATATAAAGGCACTACATGACCTACAAAAATATGCAGTAAGAGACCAAGAGTGAGCAGAAGATGTAATGTGATGAAAATGGGAGTTAATCAATTTTCGCATACCTGGGACTATACCAACTGTGAAAGGGGATTCTGGCGGAGAATAAACTGATATGTTTTGGATGTGTACATTACTGCATCACATAGAATACAATTCTATATTCAGTTCTCTTTGATCAATTAAAAAATCAGTTAAAAATCAAATGAGTACAGAAGTATTGCTTCTCTAAGTACCTACCTGCAATAGACGGGGTGAATGTTATATGCAGGGGCATTTAGGAAAGTAAGATTTGAAACTACAACATGTTCTGATAATATAAATTCCACTAGATGAGGACGACTGTATTTCAATGTATGGGAATTGAACCAATCCCACCAAACTGAGCCTTGGCCATCAATGGTTCCATTATCACCTAGATTGTTCATGTGGAATTTCTTTAGCAACAATTCCAACAGGGAAAACAGTGATCAAACAGAACAAAATTAGTGGTTAACCTACCTGTTATTACCACGTCACGCAACATATAACCATTTATCAAACTTCTATATCTTCCTCCAGGAAGTTCAATCCCTCGACCATACGAGGGTAACGGTTCCACAACATCCCAGTGTGATGGGTCCTATGCCAACAAGAAAAAATTGAAAGACAATTACTAGCCAACCAAATAAGTCCAGTCCAACTGGTTTTGTAATGTTACAAGTATTTTATTGCACTATTTTCACGATGATGCAAATTGCAGATATAAGAGGAACAAGTATTAAAAAGTTCGGAAAAACTAGAAAAGAACAAATGAACCTACCTGAGATCCCAGGATGATAGCACCCTTCTCCAAGAAGAGAGTGAGGTGGCTGGTGAGATTGAAACTTCCAGTGAGCCACCTCCCGGGCGGCACATATAGCTGAGCGCCACCCTTATCAGCAAAGGACTTGAGATAGAAAATGGCATTCTGGAAGGCAAGAGTATTCAATGTTTTTCCATCACCAACAGCACCAAACTCTTGAATTGACACGCTGTGAGGTCTTGGTTCTAATATCAAGTTATAGTCACATTGTCCATCGCTTTCTTCACCATTAACTTTAATAGCATTGCACAATGCCAGCAGCAAGAGCAATGCCACCTGCAAGAAAGCAAAAACAACACAAGCCAATCCATTCTTATTAGAATTCAAACAGACTCAACCTCAATTAATCAGTTAAAACAGAGGAATTGAGGAATTATCTTATGACAATGTACTATATGCGACAAAAGTCAAGTTGTAATCAGACAAAAGAGCAAATGATAAGGGAACAATTAATTTTGCTAGATGAAACAAGGCAACATAATGTGTAAGTTAAACTATGATTTGGTAACTCCAAAAGCAAAGCAAAATAATGCTGGAAAGAAAGAGCCACTAGAAAAAGTTTTAGATTCCAGTGAAAGCAAAACTCTGTTCAGAAGGACAAAAACAAAAGAATAAAATTCCAGAACTGAAGAAAACTAAACAAAATCATATAGAACAAAAAGAAAAATCAAAAAACTCGTTCTACTCCATATAGCAACCACATCAAGGAGCACTTTCAACTGAAACTAATCATGATAACACAACAAAGAGTTCATTATCTGAAGACTGAATTTCACCACAATCTGATAATCCCACCAAAGAAATAAGATACATAGTTAAAAAAAATAAAATTGAAAAGAATAAAATCCAAGCAATCAAGTACTAAAGTTACCCGATTTGTCAACAAATAAGATAGAAAAACTAAAAGAAAAAACAACCCAGAAATTAAATAAATAAATAAACGTACTTACTGGCATCTTCATGAGTCACTGCTTCCGCAACAGTTATTAAAGAGACGANCCTGTTATTACCACGTCACGCAACATATAACCATTTATCAAACTTCTATATCTTCCTCCAGGAAGTTCAATCCCTCGACCATACGAGGGTAACGGTTCCACAACATCCCAGTGTGATGGGTCCTATGCCAACAAGAAAAAATCGAAAGACAATTACAAGCCAACCAAATAAGTCCAACTGGTTTTGTAATGTTACAAGTATTTTATTGCACTATTTTCACGATGATGCAAATTGCAGATATAAGAGGAACAAATATTAAAAAGTTCGGCAAAACTAGAAAAGAACAAATGAACCTACCTGAGATCCCAGGATGATAGCACCCTTCTCCAAGAAGAGAGTGAGGTGGCTGGTGAGATTGAAACTTCCAGTGAGCCACCTCCCGGGCGGCACATATAGCTGAGCGCCACCCTTATCAGCAAAGGACTTGAGATAGAAAATGGCATTCTGGAAGGCAAGAGTATTCAATGTTTTTCCATCACCAACAGCACCAAACTCTTGAATTGACACGCTGTGAGGTCTTGGTTCTAATATCAAGTTATAGTCACATTGTCCATCGCTTTCTTCACCATTAACTTTAATAGCATTGCACAATGCCAGCAGCAAGAGCAATGCCACCTGCAAGAAAGCAAAAACAACACAAGCCAATCCATTCTTATTAGAATTCAAACAGACTCAACCTCAATTAATCAATTAAAACAGAGGAATTGAGGAATTATCTTATGACAATGTACTATATGCGACAAAAGTCAAGTTGTAATCAGACAAAAGAGCAAATGATAAGGGAACAATTAATTTTGCTAGATGAAACAAGGCAACATAATGTGTAAGTTAAACTATGATTTGGTAACTCCAAAAGCAAAGCAAAATAATGCTGGAAAGAAAGAGCCACTAGAAAAAGTTTTAGATTCCAGTGAAAGCAAAACTCTGTTCAGAAGGACAAAAACAAAAGAATAAAATTCCAGAACTGAAGAAAACTAAACAAAATCATATAGAACAAAAAGAAAAATCAAAAAACTCGTTCTACTCCATATAGCAACCACATCAAGGAGCACTTTCAACTGAAACTAATCATGATAACACAACAAAGAGTTCATTATATGAAGACTGAATTTCACCACAATCTGATAATCCCACCAAAGAAATCAGATACATAGTTAAAAAAACAAATTAAAAAGAATAAAATCCAAGCAATCAAGTACTAAAGTTACCCGATTTGTCAACAAATAAGATAGAAAAACTAAAAGAAAAAACAACCCAGAAATTAAATAAATAAATAAACGTACTTACTGGCATCTTCATGAGTCACTGCTTCCGCAACAGTTATTAAAGAGACGACAAGAGTCACTGAATCTCAAAATTCCAACCAAGAGAGACTGCAACAGAGAACAGAAGAAGAAGAAGAAGAAGAAGGAGAAGAAGAAAAGAACAGGCATGTGTAAGTATGTGTATTATGAGCATTAATTATATATAAATGACACAATAACTAATACATTTTTTTTTTTTTTCTTTTTACTTATTTGGAACTAAATAATTATATGGCAAGTAAGTAATAAATAACATATACTATTGGAAATGACAGTTTTCCATGCAAATCAAAGATGGTAAGTGCAAACTACAAAGAGAATAATAAGATAATATTATAATAATAAAGATATTAATTGCCACTAATTATTGCCATTTAACCTCTATTACAATATGATTATCAACGTCTCTCGCCGACAAATGTGTTTGAAACGGCCCTCCATTAAGAGAGAAGTTTGTGTTTTGTGTTTGTAATTTTGTACTGTTAAAGTCTTTAACTAAGCACTTCCAAACTCTGTTTTCTACATCTGTTAAGATATCATTTGTGTAAGAACAAAATAAGCGAAGTAGGTGAGGACAGAGCGGCCATGTGGAGGCATGGAGTTTTGGTGCAGCAATGTGTGAAAGTTGGGTGGCTGAGTACCCATTTGGACACGTAATGAGATACAAAAGATGGTATGAAAGAGTGGGTGAAACTGTGGGTAATGGAGAATAAAATAAGTGAAGAGAGTGCATGGGGTACTGAGACCGCATGTGGCTTGACAGGGCAGAGAGGTCTGTGTGGTTCCCACCTCAATCATGAACAAGATGCTAGCCTGGCATCAATCACTTGACAGAACATAACACAACAAAGACTCAAAACGAACCAAACAAACAAAGAAAAGAAAAAGAGTTGAATTTAGCGCCAGTCATGCTTGTTTATGGGTCCAGTTAACCATATTACTCCTGCATTTTATTCTTCAAATATTCTCATTTACGAATGTTTTGATCAGTTCATTTCACGTTTTAGGTGATAGAATTTGTGGGATTATGTTGCTTTTATTCAAAGTTTGATAGAATTTTGTGATTTGCAGAGCTGGATTGGGCAAAGACCAGTCATGCATAAGGCATTGTTCACGGAGCAAAAAGGGCGAAAAAGCTCTTGTGAAAGGAATCAATTTGAGACATTCTCTGTATATATGGAAACTACAGCTCACCCAATAGGCTATAAGTCTACAACCGTCCAATTAGATTCATAAGTTCTTTCCGTATTTTTGACTTAACCACTGTGAATTTTTCAAAGGCCATGAGGATTTTACAACTTAGATACGATCATCATATTCATATGGTGATGAAATATTTGCTTATGCACAGTTTAGATTTTGAAAAAAAAAAGGGTAATTTTCTTGAGGAGACCAGGTTTTTATGTGGGTTGTCACTTTGGATACTTCTATGCCCACTTTTTTTATTTTAGTGCAGTGTCCCACTACGCAGTCTTGAGTTGGGCAACTTTTTATGAAATTCTATCTAAAACTTTTAATCTACGCTGATAAAAATAGTGTTTTAGTCGCCAACTTTTCTGACTTTTCATCGAGAACTCAAATATTTCATACAACATATCCTCGAGCCTTGTTGTAATCATCAAAAAGCATGGAGAATTTTGTATCAATATAAAGAAGTGTTAGATTAGTTTATAATGAATTAAACTTGGGGGCCGGACATGCAGAGTGAACTGGTAAAGTGCCTAAAGGATCTTGACATTTGAATGCAATATTCAGAGAAAGACTCGAAGATATGAACAAGAAAACAAAAATTTGTAGTCTGAACACAGAAAGCAGAAGTCTTCATTACTAACTATTTCATGAAACAGATTAAGTAATCCTTATCCTGTTATGGTCATTTTTTCTTTTGTTGGTTAACTTGAAATTGAATCAAAAAGCCAGATGTAACCGCTACTTAATCTGTAAGTTTCTGGTCCAATGTCAGAGCCTCAATTACTACAGGACCATCCTATATAAGCACCACAAAGTTCACAATTATAGGTATTCAAAACAAATAGGTTTTGGACCTTCCTGCAGTTCACCCTCACAAATAATTCAACCTAGCATGTGAATAATTGAACAGCTACGGGCCATACAACATAGATATGACAAAATTACTTATTGGAATATGACAAGATTCCTATAATTGAATAAGGTCTATGAGTGAGAGGCTCTACAGTATATTATATACTGGAGATCATATCACAGTTATTACCCTTCCTCTTTGGGAAAAAACAGGATTGGGTAAGTTTACTTGAAGCAAATATTCTGATGAAGGATGATAGAGATATAGACTAATGGGTATTAATAATAATGAGGTGAACAAAAGGATGTCATGTCAGTGTCAATGTCAAGAAGAATCCAAAGCAACAAGACCCTTAACGAGGTGTAAAAGATACATACCTGATACAGCAGGACAGTGAGTTATAGGTATGAATAGATGGATATTTGTCTATTATCATTTTCTTCCTTCATCAGGATGGGCAACCGTTTCCTTAGCCAAGGCCATTGCACATGCCATGATAAAATGAAATCATCAGCTTTTCAATCTTAAGGAGTAAGGACCCTTCAAGAATGAAGCAATTTCTAGCTAAGATATTACTTCTAACGTCCCCCACCATGTAGCTGTCTTCTTGTTTTGTTCATCAATAAACAGTATTCAGGGAACAGGATGCAGGAAGAGAAAACTTCACTGTCAGTTTATTCAGATGAGAAAATTTACAGATTGACAGCTTAATCAGGCATTTTCTTGTTTTATAAGCTTTGCTCAAATCTTTCTGGTTTCACGATCTACCCATTTGTGGATGGATTTGGATGGCCAAGATATTCATTTAACCTCTATAATAAATTTACAATACTGCACAGAATATGGAAGTATGAAGAACTATAATGTAGAAATTATTGTCCAAGTACTAAAACAAAGCCACAAAAAAAAAAAAAAAAAAAAAAAAAAAAAAAAAAAAAAACAAGAGAGAAGAGAGAGACCTATAGCAGTTCAAGTATAATTGCAAGTGTGGTGCGTGCAGACTTCAGTGTTTGATTCATGTAAATTGTGATCAACTAGTCTGGTGACTTTCAAGTTTAAACAAACAAATACTATTTTTTAACCTAAAGAGAATATCACAACTCATTGAGGGTAGGTACAGGACACAACTAAAATAGAATATGTCTTGTAGGGTAAATGCTAGTCTGATATGCAAATCAGAGTAACCAGCTGCATATTTCATTACCCTTTCAGTTTCCCACAAGAATATCTTATCATAGCAGACAACATCTAAATCCTGCCCGACCTTGGCCCCAATCCAGAAGGGCAGAAAAAGAAATTAAACAAATTTAGGAATCAAGACATAAGCATCTTGAACTGCACCTGACTGCTTTTTCTGGTTTCTTGTCCATCCTTGCAAAAACAGAACAAAGAAACTTCTCTCAATTGTTTTGAAATCAAGTTTTGGTGTCCGAATATAAACTGTTGGAGTCTCACACCTACTAGGCACGCTCAAGTCTATTAGTTTATAAGAGTGAATAATTCTCTCATTCAACAAGACCTTATTGAGTGAGGAGTCAGACTCAGCTCAAATTCTATCATGCTATCAGAGTTAAGCCCAGTTGAGCTACGTGCTTGACCCTCAGGTGAAGAGTTAGAGCTAACAATTACCTCCATCAACAGGCATGACTCAAGACCCAATATATGAGCTTAACCATGAGGGGAGTGTTAAAATCCCACACTGACAGAAGTTAGAGCCAGCAATTACCTCCCTCAACAAGCATGACCCAAGACTCAACATATGGGCTTGACCGTGAGGGAGAATGCTAGAGTCTCATACCAACCAGTCACACTCAAGCCTACTGGTTTACAAGAGAAGGTAATCCTCTAAACCGACTAGGCACGCTCAAGCTTACTAATTTATAAAGATGGATAATCCTCCACATCAATTAGGCACGCTCAAGCCGCTTTATAAGAAAGGGTAATCCTCCTATTCAACAAGACCTTGCCACACCTCAAATTCTATCATAAACACAAGCATTGAAAACATAAACATTCTCGCTGAACATACTGAGATCAATTCTCCGAGGAGCCTATTCTTGGTCTTAATTACAAGTGGTAAAGAGGTAGAAGAAGTTTGAGAAAATTCAAGTCTTACCAATCGAGCTACAAAATTTGAATAAGATAAGATGCATAAAGTTCCTTTGTTCAAAATCTCCACTTTGTGGTTTCGAGTACAAAATGCATACAACAAAAACACAGAATTAAATACTTGAAGAAATAATAAGATATCGCATTTATCTGAGAAATCAATGTATAATATACATGAAATTATCGCACTCTAACTAATTCTTTTCCTTGACTCACACATTTGACTAGAAATCTATGAAAGACCAACCTACTATGGTACATGATAATATACAAATAAAAAAGATGCAGTTTTATCATTGGAGCTGCTCTGGAGTGGGATTGTTAGTAGCAGATGATGTAGCTGTCCTGCTGTTCTCTGTTCCATTGTCAACAGGCACTGCAACTCCCCACTTCCTTTCGGTCTCTGAAGGTTCTATTACTTTAATGGATCCATCAGTGAGCCCAACACCCAATTGATTTGGCTCCTGGGGGTGCGCTGCTACAACTAATGGGTACACAGTTTGGCTGTTGCACAGTAGAATATAGAAATTAAGAACAGATTTTGAATTTGAACAAAATTGTCATCAGTCAATTAGATTTTAATACAGGAGAATGCTTTTCACCATAACATCAAACATTTTCTCTCTTATATGCACATTTTTTGAAAATGTGAACAAAGAGGGGAAACAGAAATGCAATGCTTATCACAGATCCAAAGGAATAAAATATAGCCGGTAGATAAGAAAAGGATCCCACATCACATGACTGATGAAATAAAAGCCAGGAAGTAACTCTTTGGTGGTAGTAGTGGCAAAACCATGTAAGTCAACAATTTACATACCTGTTCGATGATGCCTGGGATATGTATGCTGATGGGGCTATACGACATCTTAGCCTTAGGCTATCAGCATCAAATACTCCAATGTTACCATCAGTGAAAGTAGCATAAATTAGTTGGCTGTTGCAGGAATATACAGCACAAGAAATGGGCGAAGAAAGTACGTCTTGTGGCACCCACTGCAATTAAAAACATGTTAGGAATTTGTTGCAAGTGAACTTAATTTACATGTGCAAAAATTAGGCTTCTCACCTGTCGAATGCGTTCCATCTTCGCTGCATCATATAGAGCTAGCTGAGTCTCATGGCATACCAACAGACAGACTTGATTGGAGTGAAATTGCACTCTAGTGTCACCAATAGGTGCCTTTCCAGCAGGCAGTTGAATTGTAACTGATTTCCTCTTTTCCCATGTATCAGTGTTCCAAAAGATAACCTGTAAAAAGTATACATTCAAAGAACCAATAGTTTCAGGTGCAGGCTTATCATATGCGGGCATAAGAACCACTAGACATATTCATCTACCAAGTAATAAGTAAATGAAAATGGCACATATATTGCATAAAAACTCAGACCAGAGGTACAAATCCAAACCATATCTGTATTATCCCACTCTCATTAGAAATTTTGTAATAAATAGGATTGGTCCACAAAATAGCCCACATTACAGGAAACTCTGTATTCAACTCCAGTTATATTGCAGATCTAAACAAAAGCCTCCAAAAGATTGAACTACCTTACATGTCAGCCTTCAATAACAAATAGAACTTTATTGGTCAAACTATTACCTAATCAATTATAACAACAAATAAGTCGGATTGGACGATATTTAATGGCTCAAGGGCTGTTTAGATGCAATTCTGACTTTAGTATGAAATGGATTTGAAAAGTTAAAACCAGCTCATGGCAATTAATATTTTTGTCAACAAAACTTTGTTGAGCCCAGTTTCGTTTTCCAACAGACCTCAAATGGAATTAGATTAGGTTAATATATGGATAAGCAAATTCTTGAAAAGCCAGATCCACTTTCAAAGTCAGGTTAAATAAGGTTTCGGAACCCAAAAATCATTTGGTTCCATCATCTAGTCAACAAAACAAAACAAATTGCATATATATGATAACTTAACAATGTGTCAGTTTACGAGCAAGTGCAGCAACAAACAAACAATTTTGCTTTTCTTATTATTAAGTTATAAAGTATCATGGGTGCAACATACCTGAGCATCAGCCCCTGATGAGACCAGGATATTAAGACTGGTGGAAAATGCCAAACCAGTAATGCGCTTTTGGTGACCCTTTAATTTTGTTTTGACCTATTAGTAGCAGAAGTTGATTTCACATTGGTTACTGACCAAGCAGCTAAATCATTACATAGCCTTAAATGACTATTAAATTAACTACCTCATCCACCCTGACATTGTAGATTTGGATGGTTGAGTCTTCCATTCCAACTGCTATGATGTTATTGTCTTGAGGATGAAATGCTAGGAAGGTTGAAGCTGGTGGAGGTTGCATGAATGTAGTCATCACCTACAAACCAAGGCAAGTCCCCAAGTTATATGATCAATAGCTTCAAAAGCCATAATACATTAAGGTTCAAACAAATGCAGTCAGCAATGATGTAAACAGTACACAGGCACTTCTCCACATGAAAGCAAGCATTGGCTGAGGATAGCTAAATTTACCTTAAAGTTCATCATATTAAACAATGAAACTTTCCCACCACAGGCAGACATGACATATGAGTCATTCTTTGAGAGTGCTATGCACGGAACCGCTTCTTCTGAATTCTCTGGGACATCATTGGTCATAAGAAGACCATTGCTTGGATGCCAATGTTGTGGAACAACACTGGTAGTGGCCTTTCAAACCAACAAATAAGTGAGAAATTTCAGCCAGAAAAATTTGCTACAAATATTGTTGATTCACTACATACATATACATTTAGATTTTAGATGTAAAAATAAAAAGACAGATGTATGCATGCATGTGTACATCAGTTAGTATAGATCAATTACCTTTCCACCAGGATTCTGTTCACTGCGGCCCCATTTCCATAGCTTCTGAACCCCATTTGACCCTAGGGCCAGAATGCCAACACCAGAATTTGTGTAAAGAAGTCGAGCAGCCTTCATAAGAATGATGCAATTATTATTAGATTTACCACTTTAGGTGCTATTATGGCATCTAGTGTTTCATATCTTTTTCAAGAAAAGCATCAGGAAGAAGTTCTTCTCAAAACCTTGCAAGCAGAATCAGTGCCTTCTGGCATGGTGACAGCCCGACACTGAACAAGATTGACAATCTCAGTCAGTTCCCAAGGCTTGGCTTCATCAGATACCTCCTCCAAATTTCTTGGCTTTTCTATGCCTGTAGCTATGGATTCAACTCCATTCTAGAATGAACACTTTTCAGAATTAGATGGCAGTACAAAAGAAATTGTTCAATACATCAGAAACAACTAAAAAAATAGCATGAGGTCATATTGCTAGTTAAATCTTTTAAACAAGACGCAATACAATAATCATTGATACTTTAAGTTTACAGGCCAATCCATTGCATGAAAAGTTGTAAATAATCTAATGGTAAGCTTCCAAAAGATAATAAAATTAGATTCCTGTCATTTGTATAGCATACAATTATAGGAGTGGACCTGACAGGGGAGCTTTTGTCTACACATTCCACTTTACTAATAACTGGACTGATGCTTGTAACCACAGCAGAACTAGAAACCTGATCCATGAAAATTAAACAAATCAAGATAAATAGAAGTTCAAATTAAAGCAAGAGGGTTCAGGTACTCCGGGAACAGAATAAAACTACCTTCATCTCAGTGGTTCCTTTGGATGTTTCATAAGTTCATGTTTCCATTGCTTTAAAGGCTCTCAGACCATCAGCATTTGCATCTTAAGTCCATTGTCAGCTGTAGTAACTATAAGCAAATTTCCTTCCCTGTTGAATCTCAACCAGGGAAGACACTGAAGCAACCCAATAAATGATATCAGATTATAGATGCAAAACAGAAACATCTGACGATTAAAACTAGAAAACCAGTAAGGAAACAGTAAAGAAATAGTCAAGATGCTGACCGGAAGTCCACCCTCGGCCTCAGTACTTGTGAGCACATTGGTGTTGTCCATATCCCAAAATTTTATCTGGTTATCTTCACCAGCAGCCAAAAAGCGATTTCTTGTTGTATCAAATTGCACTACACCAGCAGATTTCTTTCTGAAGCCAATATAACTCCTCTTTATAGCTCCTTCACTTTCATTCCATTCAACAAGGAATGAGTCCCCATCTTTACTAGTCCCACAGGAGAACAATCTGAATTCCAAGAAAGGATGCTTACATCTCAATTATGATTTCACCATTTTCACGAGCATATCTAAAGGCTTAGTTATTACTTACCTACTACCATCAGCACTGTAGAGCATAGTAGTACACCACAGCCCAGGAGCATCATAGTCAACCCTAGAGCCCATATTATCATACGGCCAAGCCTTAATTTTCCCATCGATAGTAGTTGAAAATATAAACTGAAAAGTTGAGTTGAAAACCAAAATATCAATGTCCAATTCCTTTGCAACAAAATGCTTCACATTTGAAGAAAATTCTCTGTGCTTATTCAAACACATATCATGTTCAATACACTTGAATCCAACTATACTGTTAAAGAAATCCCGCCTTGTAAATGTGGCAAAAATCACAAGCATGAAAAACGAAAAACAAGGACCATTTTGAACCTACAACATTTTAAATAGAGCACAAGTTGTTCAACCAACATAATTCAGGGAAAAGATGGATAAAAAAGCTCATGGGAATTACTTCTTTTGATTCACAAATGTTTTATCCCCATATCAGCTTGCAAGGAAGTACATACAAAATCAGTCCCACATGAGCTGGTGCAATCTTATTGGCGACCAAATACACAACTGCCACCAAGTCCTCAGGTGTTGTATCCATGACAGTCCTCAACATATTACACACAATATTAGTAATCACAATCTGCCCCGTTTCGTTCGAAATCATCTCAAATGCCAAACTCAAGAAAATAAACAGATATTCGAGAAACATTAAATTCTTACTATCCCCAGGTGAAATGGGGCTGATTATGGTGGAAATGAGTAATCAGCAGCAAGATGGACTGATTCGTAGTGGAAAGAAGACCAAAGGATGCTAGAAGTTGAACAATTGCAGACGACGGCAGCCGCTGAAGAAAATGCTCCAAAACTTCGTGAGAGGTAGATCAGGTCACGAGGAGTCCAAATATGTGACTTGGGAGACGAAACGACATCAAAAAGTGAGCGAATGACATCGGGAAGGTGAAGAGACATGACAGTGAAATGGCTTTTTTCCGGTGAGATTTTGAGTCAACCAAGCTTGGGAAAGGTAGATATGACCTTAGGGAATATGGACCCATCCTTAGGATGTCTAGAAGTAGCCGGAAAACGAAGAAAAGTCACTGGAAAGATGTCTAGGTCATTTTTGTTGTAGTGTGGGGAGAAAAGAGGAAATTTAACCGGCCAAACCTCTCCAAGTTTGCATTTAAAAAAATAACCTGAAAATATTTTGCAATTTTTTTAAGTTAGAAAAACTTACATGGCACACTTAGGATTCATTAAACTTGTAAAACGAGTTAAACTGAAAAGATTTAAACATATGTAGGTAGTATTATAATTAATAAAAGTTTGTTTAAATTTTGAAAATTAAAAACAACCCCTGTCATTCAAAATCGTTTAATTGAGCAATATACCCAAAAAACGACCGACGAACACCCTTGAATTCTCCGCGATTTCCAGCGATAAAAGTGCCCTATTTCCGGCAAATATTCAATCCTAAAACTTCCTTACACAAAATCAAGGCTGATATTCAAAAAAAGGAGGAAAACTTGTAACGCCTAACAAGGAGGTACATGATTTAAATTATGTTTTATAGCCTTTAGTTGATTTTTGTTAGAATTATTTTAAGAGAATATGAAGAAATTGCCTTAAACTTGCATTAAGGGTAAAATAGTCTTTTCACTTAAAATTAGTTGAAAAAGTGGGGAGTGAAAAGAGAGAATTTCATAGAGAATACAATAAAAATGAGAGCATTATGGCAATTGACTAAGGGACAAAGATGAAATTTCTAAGAAAGAGTAAGGGCAAAATGGGAAAGTGTGTTTATAAAATAAAATGTTAAGGGTTTGAAACCCTTATTTCTCTCATTCCACCGCCACTCTCCTTCTCTATTTTCTCTCAATTTTTCACTCAATTCTCTAAGAATTTTGAGGGCTTTTGAGTGGATTTTAATAGGGTTTTGATCCTAGGCAACAAGAGGTAAGAATTTTTGCTTTTTATCTATGATTTATTTGTGTAAAAGTTGAGTTCTTATGAAGTTTATGCTTAGGGTTAAGAGAAGGTTTGAATCCAACAAGAGTAGAGAGCTTAGTAGAGACTACTCAAGTATAAGGTAAGTAAATTCCACTCAAAATCCAACCTAAATTAAAGTTTAAGAAATCAAGTGAGTAGAGATTTCTTTTAAGCATGCATATGTTAAGATTATTGAGAAATTGAGATAAGATTGATGATTATTTATGCTTGTTTGGATATATTTGAGTATGAGAAGTGTATGTGATGGTATGATGATGGGTTGAAATTAGAAGAATTGGAGAAAACTTTTGGGAGTGTTTTTGTCGTGTAGGTATGATGATGATACAAGAGAGGTTTTCTCTCAATCTGGATGGTTTAAGAAACAAATAGAATGATAATTAAATTAGGGTTTGTATATGCACATTTAATGTTTGATGAAATTCCTAAGAGAAACATACGTATGAGTAGAAACCTTAATTTTATGTAACATTTCATATTTGCATTTCATGAGTGCATTTAAGTAAGAATTTTAAGCATTAGTCATCCATATGCATATATTTGTATATGTGTAATAATTTAAGAAAGAATGAAGAATTTTTAAAATAAAACACTTTAAGAGTAAAGAGAAAGAAAGAATAAGCATTAAAGAATTAAAGAAAGAAAAAGTTGTAAAGAAGAGAAAAGAATAGGTTGGTGTGATGGGGAACCGTGAGTATTAAGAAGAAATTCTCATATACACGCCACCTTAATTGAATGGCATAAGAAGAAGAAAAATTGTACGACCTGTAAGTGTGTATGTGGATGAGGGTTGTACCAAGAAGAATTTCCTACATGCACGCCACCTTAATTGAGTGGCCTAAGGAGAAAGAGAAATTTGTACGGTCCGCAATAGTGATGTAGATGAGGACTATACTCACTCACATGGTCAAGGTTCCAAATCCATGTATCAACCGAGTCCGATCTACAAAGAATAAGAAAAGAAAGAATAAGAAAGAATAAGAATAAGAAAGAATAAGAATAAGAAAAGAAAGAATAAGAAAGAATAAGAATAAGAAAAAGAAAGAATAAGCAAGAATAAAAACAAGAAAAGAAAGAATAAGAAAGAACAAGAAGAAGAAAGAATGAGAAAGCTTGAACAAGCAAAGAAAAGAAAAGAAAAACAAGAAAGAAAAGAGAAGCATGAGCAAGCAAGACAAGAAAGAAAAGAAAAGAAAATGAATAGAATAAGAAATAGAAAGAAGAAAGAAGAAAGAAAATGCATTTTTATGCATTATTGCACATGCATTTCATTCATGCATATTACCATGTATCCCATGATGGTTAGAAAGAATAGAAAGAATAGGAATAACAGAGAGAAGGGAAGAACAACGAGAATTAGGAAGAAAGAAAGAATAGTAAGAATGAGAAACAGAGAAAGAAAAAAGAAAGAAAGAAGAAGAGAATTAAGTAAGGAAAGAACCAAAGAAGGAGAAGAGTTAAGGGATTTACTTACTGAGCATTTTTTATGCTTACCCTGTTGTTTTTCCATGTTTTTTGGCAGGAAATAGGTGAGCAGAGGTCGGAAGGGAGTAGTCGAGCGGAGAGAATTGGCATTACTGTCCACCGCTGCTAAGTTTTTGTACTTGTTATTTTGATATTTGTAAAGAATTATATTTTGTAAGTAAAGGAGAAAATTTGGGCCCAACTATTTTCATATGTTAATTATGTATGTTTTCATTGTATATATTATAAAGTATATTAGTAGAAAGAAGTCATTACAAAACCCAACTCCATTCCAAATCCTAAAATGTAATACCCACATTCAGAAATATGGTAGGGATTATTTTATAGTCACAGTGAATATATTTAACTAGTTTTATAAAGAAATTCCATTAAAGTTTCAATAGGGGCAAAATGGTCATTTCACATAGAATCATGTGTTCAAGTGAAAAGTGAGTATAATAAATATAATGTATTAAGTGTACTGGCCATGAGAATAGAGTGGTAAAAAGATTATAGAAAATACACGTGATGTGATGCCGAGATAAATACGTGTTTGTAAAGTAATAGGAAGAAATTAAAAAATAAGGGTAAAATGGTCTTTTCACTTACAACTAGATGAAAAAGTGGTGAGTGTAAGGAAGCAAAATAATGTGAAGAAGATAATACAAATGAGAGTAATTAGGTAAATGACTAAAGGACATAGATGAAATTTCTTAGAATGTGCTAGGGCAAAATGGGAATGTATATATATATATATATATATATTTTATTAGTTATAAGGCTTCAATTGACAAAACCCTAGCCATTCTCATCCCTTGAGCACGCCACCTCTCATTCATTTTCTCTCAAGCTTCTTCAACAAATTTCAAAAAGAATTCATAGGGTTTAGCTTAAATTTTTGTAGATTTTCAATCCTAAAGCATCCAAAAGTAAGATTCTAGCACAAAAGTATGTATTTAAGCTTTAAAGTTATGAATTCTTATGTTTTTAAATGATTTAGGTCCAAAAGGAAAAGAATATTAGCAAAGGAAGGTTGAATCATTAGTGTTATACAAATTCAAGGTAAGTAAACACAATCTAAGCTTTAATTTGAGTAGTATATGTGTAAGTTGATTCTTGAGCGTTTGTGTATGGTGTTTGATAAGAAGTATTGGCTATTTAGATGCTTGTTTGATGGAGAATAATGTGTAGAAGTTCAGCCAAGATGAGTAGTTATCTAGATGTGATGTTTTGGTTGAACCTTGGATGAAATTTTGAAGAGTTGATGTTGGAATTTGGAAGTGTTGAATCGGCCAGAATATGGGCTGAGTTCTTGTTGAATTTTCTTCCAACTTTAAGGTATTTGGAGAGATGTGGTGGTGTGGCCAGCCATGTACTTATATGTGCATGTAAAGTGTTTGGTGAAATTTCAAAAAGAAATTCATGCATGAATTTATCAAATATTGTTAAAGATATTGTTTGAGAAAGGAAAGAATTGATGTTAAAAGGTTGTATTAGACTTGACCAAGTATAAGTTTAAGTGTTTAAGAGTGCATTTTATTATGCCAAAATTTAGAATAACACTTGGTTATGTCAGTTCAATGAAATGAATGACCTTTAGTGCATGGTTTAAGTTGCTTGAATTTTTAGCATTAGTTTGAATGGCATATTGTATTTAGTCATTGAATTATGAGTTTTGAAACTTATGACTTTAGAAAAGTGATGGCAAGCATTGCATATTAAATTGTTGCAATAGTGTAGTATTGATGATAGTAAAAGATGAGTGATTATATTATAATATTACAATATGCCACAATAAATTGTCAAGCTTGTATGCTTGAAATTAGAAAGATCATTCAAAGAATGGCTTAGCCCAATGAGGATATTGTTGTTTCTTGTTTTGAGATATAAATAATATGCAATAAGTGATTTTATTGTATAAAGAATAGAAAAGTTTTCCCAAGTATAGATATCAAAAGAAACATCAAAGAAATAGAAGTTTGGTTTATGTATTAAATACATGACCAT